AGGTGTGAAGGAGGACTGTAAAGTTGTGAAACTGGATTTTGGAATTTTTACATAAACTCACAGTAAACTAGGAATAGCCCTAATCTAAGAGGAAACATAAAGCTACTTAAAAATTTCTGTCAGTATGACTTGGATGTGCTCTGATGCATCCTCCATCCTTTGGTTGGTAGTGACAGGGAGAATAAGAGATGGGAGCTTATTATAGAAAAAGAGATGTGTTTTGTAAAATGTTAATGTTAGATTTATTTGTATAACAGAAAATGTTTTATACTGTTTTAACTGTGACAATTGGCTTTTTTCTTCTCTCATTTTTCAAAGATTTTTTAATTTATTTATTTGAAAGTCAAAGTTACAGAGAGGGAGGGAGATACAGAGATCTTCTATCTGCTGGTTCACTCCCAAGATGATGTCCATGGCCAGGGCTGGGCCAGGATGAATTCAGGAGCCAGGAGCTTCATCTGGGTCTCCCATGTGGGTGGCAGGGCCCAAACACTTGGGCCATCTTCCACTGGTTTTCCCAGGCCATTAGCAGAGAACTGGATTAGAAGTGGAACAGCTGGAATTCCAACTGGTACCCATATGGGATGCCAGTGGTATAGGCAGAGGCTTTACCCACTATGTAACAATGCTAGCCCTTGGCTGGCGCTGCGGCTCAATAGGCTAATTCTCCGCCTGCGGCGCTGGTACCCTGGGTTCTAGTCCCGGTTGGGGCGCTGGATTCTGTCCCGGTTGCTCCTCTTCCAGTCCAGCTCTCTGCTGTGGCCCGGGAGTGCAGTGGAGGATGGCTCAAGTCCTTGGGCCCTGCACCCACATGGGAGACCAGGAGAAGCACCTGGCTCCTGGCTTTGGATCAGCACGGTGTGCTGGCTGCAACGGCCATCGGGGGTGAACCAATGGAAAAAGGAAGACCTTTCTCTCTGTCTTTCTCTCACTGTCCCAATCTGCCTGTCAAAAAAAATCAAAAAACAAAAAACACAATGCTGGCCCTGGCCTTTTTTTTTTTTTTTTTTTTTGACAGGCGGAGTTATAGACAGTGAGAGAGAGACAGAGAGGTCAAATGGCCGCTATGGCCAGCGCTGTGCTGATCCGAAGCCAGGAGCCAGGAGCCAGGAGCTTCCTCCTGGTCTCCCATGTGGGTGCAGGGGCCCAAGCACTTGGGCCATCTCTACTGCCTTCCCAGGCCACAGCAGAGAGCTGGACTGGAAGAGCAACAACTGGGACTAGAACCCAGTGTCCATATGGGATGCCGGTGCGCAGGTGGAGGATTAACCAAGTGAGCCACAGTGCCGGCCCCTGGCCTTTTTTTTTTTTTTTAACAGAAATTGAGGACAAATTATGAGAACATTGTTGATAATAGTACTAACACATCTTATGAACAAATCCATCTTAAGGTGAGGCAATGCAGTTGCTTCATAAAGAGGTCAGTTACACTGATAGTCAAGGAAGTGCTAAATAATAGTAGTGCTTAATGATGTTTTATTTGTGAGAGCGGCAAAAATGAAAGTGATAGACAAATCATGCATGGTTAATGAGGCTGTGGGAAGATAGTGTTCACAAATTTCATATTAATGTATACAATTATGTTTATAAATATATATTTGTAGAGTGATAGGGAAATCTGTTACCATGTACATGTGTATACCTTTGACTCTATAACTCATCCTTTTTTAAATTTCCTCCTGTACAAATTATTAAGCATGCTTGTGTAAGGTTGTTTGCATTTTGTATGAATATTCATGTATGCACAAGGATGTATTGAATCATTGTTTCTCTTTTTTCTTTTTTCTTTTTTTTTTAATTTTTTTGACAGGCAGAGTGGACAGTGAGAGAGAGAGACAGAGAGAAAGGTCTTCCTTTGCCGTTGGTTCACCCTCCAATGGCCGCCGCGGCCGGCGCGCTGCGGCCGGCGCACCGCGCTGATCCGATGGCAGGAGCCAGGAGCCAGGTGCTTTTCCTGGTCTCCCATGGGGTGCAGGGCCCAAGCACCTGGGCCATCCTCCACTGCCTTCCCTGGCCACAGCAGAGAGCTGGCCTGGAAGAGGGGCAACCGGGACAGAATCCGGCGCCCCGACCGGGACTAGAACCCGGTGTGCCGGCGCCGCTAGGCGGAGGATTAGCCTAGTGAGCCGCGGCGCCGGCCGAATCATTGTTTCTCATTATTTGCAGTAAAAAGAGTCAGTTGAATCTCATGTAATGACCTAGATAAAGCCCTTAATCTATTTTTAAGTGTTGAAAAACAACTTATATTTTAATATATGTAGCATTGTCCTATTTTTATAAAAACAAAACCACTTATATGTATGTATCTGAGTGTGTATGTGTTTGTGTGTGTGTCTGTGCACACACACACATGAGAGAGAAAGAGCAAGGGCATTAGCAAACAGAATGAATGTTTTTAAACTATTCATTAAAACTTCTTAGCTTGGGAGATGGAGTGACTTTCATAAACTTTTTCATGTACCTGTGTACAATTTGAATTTTAACAGAGAACAGATGTTACTTTTGCAATTGATAAAAAGGAGGTGTAAAATACAGGTAAATAAATGTCTGAGAATTCAGATTTCCAGACATCTCAGATTGATATTATATCCAGCCATCAACTCAGACTGTTTCACATGAATATATTTAGCTAATAGTTTCTTTCAAAGTAGCAATGCAATTCTGTAAAAATAAAAAAGGCAAGCTATGTAGACATCCTCTCTATTTTGAAATTCAACTTAGACTTTTTGGATTGTCTTTCTATAGACCCCAACTCTACCTCTTCCTTATATTTAGTTTCATGTGGTTTTAAATCTTCACCAGCAGCCCTCCAGTGATGCTGAGAGGTGTTACCAAGACAGTGGAATATGTCCCATGTTAGAGGCCTGCTCTGGGTTGGAGTGTGTTCCGATTTGCAATTGCCTACATGTTTCTCCTCTTGCAGGTAGACTGTCTGAACCCTGCTAACCACCAGAGACTATGTGTGCTTTTCAGCAGTTCCTCTGCCCAGTCCAGCAATGCTCCTAGTGCTTGTGTCAGCCCTTGGTAAGATTCTTCACCCCTTACTCTGTTTCACTTAATAATAATTCCCAGAAACTTAAAACTTAAAATCTGTTTTTAGATACATGACACACTGCTGTTCATATGTGAACTGATAGAACTATTTAAACGTGTGTAGTAAATATAAAGTTTGTATTTATTTGTGGGTGGAGGTCAATGAGAATACTTAAGAAGGAGTGAGAAAATGTGAGGGATCAAAGAGAAATATGTACATAAAAAAGTGAGAAAGTTGACATAGAAAAATTAATTTTTTTAACTTTTTATTTAATGAATGTATTTTTCATAGGTACAACTTCAGGAATATAGTGATTCTTTCTCCCATACCTATCCTCCCAGCCCGACTCCCATCCCTCCTCTCTCTCCTCCTCCTATCCCCTTCTTCATTATGGTTCATTTTTACTTTGATTTTATTTATTTATTTATTTAATTTTTTTTATTTTTGACAGGCAGAGTGGACAGTGGGAGAGAGAGACAGAGAGAAAGGTCTTCCTTTACCGTTGGTTCCCCCTCCAATGGCCGCTGCAGCCAGCGCCCTGTGGCCAGCGTACCGCGCTGATCTGAAGCCGGGAGCCAGGTACTTCTCCTGGTCTCCCATGCGGGTGCAGGGCCCAAGGACTTGGGCCATCCTCCACTGCACTCCCGGGCCACAGCAGAGAGCTGGCCTGGAAGAGGAGCAACCGGGACAGAATCCAGCGCTCAAACTGGTACTAGAACCCAGTGTGCGGCGCCGCAAGGCGGAGGATTAGCCTATTGAGCTGTGGCGCCGGCCTTTACTTTGATTTTATATACAGAGAACCAACTCCATATTAAGCACAGATTTCAACAGTTTGCACCCACACACACATACAACATATAGAGTACAATTTGAGAACAAGATTTGCAGTCAACTCTCATAGTACAACTCATTAAGGATGGAGGTCCTACATGGGGAGTAAGTGTACAGTGACTTTTGTTGTTTCTTTAGCAATCAACACTCTTATTTATGACATCAATGATTACTTGAAGCTCTTGTCTTTGGCTGCCAAGGCTATGGAAGCCTTTTGTGACCATAGACTCCATCAGTATTTGGACACGGCCATAAGAAAAGTGGATGTTCTCTCCTCCCTTCAGAGAAAAGTACATCCTTCTTTGATGGCCCTACAAAAGCTAGTTTCTAAGCATTTTGATGATAACATGTATGGATTTAGACAGTGTTTTATGCATTTGTATAAAAGCATTGAGCTTTTTGCCTTAATAATGGGTTTTATTCTAAAACTGAATTCTAAGTAGATTATTGGAAATAGAAACACATTTTACATAGCTAAAAATTAGTTTTTCTATTTATGGTCACAAATTGTTATATTACATAGTTTACTTTTTTTTTTTTAAAGATTTTATTTATTTATTTGAAAGTTAGAGTTACAGACAGTGAGGAGCAGAGACAGAGAGAAAGGTCCTCTGTCCGCTTTTTCACTCCCCAAATGGCCGCAATGGCCGGAGCTGCGCTGATCGGAAGCCAGGAGCCAGGAGCCTCCTCCAGGTCTCCCAAATGGGTGCAGGGGCCCAAGGACTTGGGCCATCTTCCACTCCTTTCCCAGGCCATAGCAGAGAGCTGGACTGGAAGAGGAGCAGCTGGGACTAAAACCGGCTCCCACATGGGATGCTGGTGCCACAGGCGGAGGACCAACCCACTGCGTCACAGCGCTGGCCCCACATAGTTTACTTTTTATTTTTTTTTTTAATTTTTTTTATTTTTTTTTGACAGGCAGAGTGGACAGTGAGAGAGAGAGACAGAGCGAAAGGTCTTCCTTTGCCGTTGGTTCACCCTCCAACGGCCGCCGCGGCCGGCGCACTGCGGCCGGCACACCGCGCTGATCCGATGGCAGGAGCCAGGAGCCAGGTGCTTTTCCTGGTCTCCCATGGAGTGCAGGGCCCAAGCACCTGGGCCATCCTCCACTGCACTCCCTGGCCACAGCAGAGAGCTGGCCTGGAAGAGGGGCAACCGGGAAAGAATCCGGCGCCCCAACCGGGACTAGAACCCGGTGTGCCAGCGCCGCAAGGCGGAGGATTAGCCTATTGAGCTGCGGCGCCGGCCTCATAGTTTACTTTTGTTTAAAAAGTACTGTGTAACATTTCTGGTGTTTTTGGAGCAGTGTTTCTATGAAAAAATATTTTCTATGTTTTTATTGTTGGATGCTAGTTACACTCAATTCTAACAGTGAGATCAGAGTTTCTTCCAGAAGCAGTAGAGTTTCATCAGCTAGACTTGGGGCTGAGGGAGCTCATAGTTTATGGAATCCTTTGGTCAAGGATAAGGATAAGATGTGGGATTCAAAAGGCGTTCAGGCAAATTCTCTTATTTGTGTTTATAAGTTAGATATAAAGTTTAGAATTAGCTCTTGGGGCCGGCACCGTGGCTCACTTGGTTAATTCTCTGCCTCGGTGCCGGCATCCCATATGGGCACCGGTTCTAATCCTGGTTGCTCCTCTTCCAGTCCAACTCTCTGCTGTGTCCCGGGAAGGCGGTGGAGGATGTCCCAAGTGCTTGGGTGCTGCACCCATTTGGGAGACCAGGAAAAAGCACCTGGCTCCTGGCTTTGGATCGGCGTAGCATTTGGCCGTGGCAGCCATTTGGGAGGTGAACCAACAGAAGGAAGACCTTTCTGTCTCTCTCACTGTCTAACTCTGTCAAATAAAAAAAAAAAGAAATTAAAAAAAAAAGAATTAGCTCTTTAGTAAGAATATGAGCTGCTGTTCTCCATGCTAGTCTCAGTAACAGTATGATCTAGAGAGCAGGAGATAAGAGTCCATTTTATGTTGACAGGGCTTAAGGTTTTGTAAAGCAAGCTGAGAACCTCTTCTTAAATCAGTTTTGCGTAGTTAATATTACAGTTTATGCATAATTACAAATAGTTTCATAAGATACTAATGGACCAGAAATGGAAAGGATGCTACAGTGTGATTAATCTAAACTTCTTTTACTGGATGAAGCAAAACCTGTTCAATATTCTCTGTGAATATTACCTGACTTAATGTCTCATTGTAAGTACATTTAATAGGTAATCAGAACATGTGGTCTGTGATGCATCTTTGCTGTTTGATATTTATTTATTTTTATTTGGAAGGCAGAGTTTCAGAGAGAGAGAGAGAGGGAGATCTTAAATCTGCTGGTTTACTCCCAAAATGGCCGCAAAGGCCAGGGCTGTGTCAGACTGAAACCAGGGGCCAGGACCTTCAGATTCTCCCACGTGGGTGGCAGGGGTCCAAGCACTTGGGCCATCTTCTGCTGCTTTCCCAGGAGCATTAGCAGGGAGCTGAATTGGAAGTGGAACAATCAGATTTTGAACCTGTGTATGGGATGGGTGGGCTAACCAGCTGTACCACAACACCAGCCCCTTGGTAATTCTTGTTTTTAAAAAGAAATGCTTTCTTTTAGGATTGTAACAATGGAATTTTATGGAAAGAATGATCTTACGTTAGGAATATTCTTGGAGAGATACTGTTTCAGGTGAGAGAAGATTTCCTTCTTATGTTCCATTATGCATTTAAATTTTAATTTTTGATTTACCTGTAATTGTACATATTTGTGGAATACAACATGGTATTTTTTTAAACTTTTATTTAATGAATATAAATTTCCAAAGTACAGCTTATGGATTACAATGGCTCCCCCCCCCCCCCCCCCAGCTATAACTTCCCTCCCACCTACAACCTTCCCCTCTCCCGCTCCCTCTCCCTTCTATTCACATCAAGATTCATTTTCAATTATCTTTATATACAGAAGATCAATTTAGCATATATTAAGTAAAGCTTTCAACAGTTTGCACCCACACAGAAACACAAAGTATAAAGTACTGTTTGAATGCTAGTTATAGCATTAAATCACAATGTACAGCTCATTAAGGACAGAGATCCTACATGAGGAGTAAGTGCACAGTGACTCCTGTTGTTGACTTAACAAATTGACACTCTTGTTTATGGCATCAGTAATCACCCTAGGCTCTTGTCATGAGTTGCCAAGGCTATGGATGCCTTTTGAGTTCACCAACTATGATCATATTTAGACAAGGTCATAGTCAAAGTGGAAGTTCTCTCCTCCCTTCAGAGAAAGGTACCTCCTTCTTTGATGACCCATTCTTTCCACTGGGATCTCACGCACAGAGATCTTTCATTTAGGTTTTTTTTTTTTTTTTTTGCCACAGTGTCTTGGCTTTCCACAACATGGTATTTTGATTTTTGTATATTTTATGTAAAGATCAGGGCGAGTGGTATATCCATCACCTTAAAACATTTGTCTTTTATTTGTGGTGAAATCATTCAAAATTTTCTCTTTTGGATTTTTGAAATATAACTATGTTATTGTTTGTTTTAGTCATGGTACCTTGCAGTAGAACAGTGGAACTTATTCTTCAAGTCTGATTGTAACATTGTACTGATGCATTTGCAATGCTCAGAATTATTTCAACCTAAAACATAAACATGATTTGGATTTCAAGTATCATCATATGGCCCTCATTTTCATACCATAGATCAGAGTATAATCTACTTTATATTCAGAGTGGAATGTCTTACCAATACACTCCTTATACCTGTCCATCGCATTACCCTGCCACCCTTAAGACTTTTTTAGGATGTCTGGTTTTTCGGTGATTCAAATGAGAGTCAAGGGCGGCGCTGGACTCAGCTAAACCTCATTTTCAACCTTGGTGCAATCACTTGCTCTTTACATAACAAAGAGCAAGTAATTTAATGTCTACCTGCCGTTCCCTTGCCCGCAAAGGAATGAGGATAGTCACAGCTGATCGGTCTTCTGTAGACTTTTATTGAGAAAATAACAGTGACAGAGAAAGCATGAAAGGAAGAAGAGAGGAGAGAGAAAAAGCCCCCTCCTTCCTGGGCACACAGCTTATATACAAAATTCAACCAATCGCAAGCGGGCTCTAGTCCATGCATGGAACACTCCAATCCTCTGCTTGTTCACGTGGTGTGCACGCGTCCTCGGGCCAGTCAGATGAAGTGTCACGCAGCAGGCAGGCTCACTGCACAGTCCTTGGTGCCATCTTGTTGTTTACGAGACAGGCTCGACTTCTCTGGAAAGTCCTGACCGCTGGAAAGCATTGCCCTAACCGAAACTAGCAACATCCGCCTTGCAATAAAGACACAACGACAGCTATCAGACCAAACCCTGATAAGGGGACCCCCATGGCTGGCCAGCCCATGGGGCTCCACACTACCATCTCCCTTTATAGGGAATAACAATTCCCAGAAATGTCAAGATATTGTTGGGCAAAATGAGATGCCTTTAAATTGGCAAATAAAAGGTGCTTAATAAATAGAAACTGTCGATGTGCTGTCTGTGGTTGAAGACTTGACTGGCTGGTTAGCTCAGCATGAGTCCCTGTACACATTGTCCAGTTGTCACTGTTCCTCCAGAGAGGGTGCTACATTTCCTTGACAGTGGTTCTGATTATATGCATTCTGTTTCTTACTTAATATGAGAAGGACTCTCTTGTTTGTTAAAGGCCTTCTTATCAGTGTCCTAGTATGTTCTGTGATACCCCTATGGTGCATCACATTCGGCGCTTTGTCCATGGCCAAGGATGTGTGCAGATAATACTGAAGGAGTTGGATTCTCCAGTACCTGGATATCAGCATACAATTCTTACATATTCCTGGTGCAGAATCTGCAAACAGGTAAGTATACCCACCACTATATTACATGTTATTTATTTCTTTATTTGTATAGTTCTTTTGGGGTGAGAGGGTGCTTTATATTACTTTGAATTTTTGTTAGTCATTAATTCATTTATTTTACCTTCCAGTGCTATGAATATTTAATATTTGTTTTTTTGAGATTCTGTTTAGGAATTTATGTCATTAAATAAAATACAGGTGCTTTATGTGGTAAAATATGTTGAGATTATAGTTTGGCTTCTGGCTTTGGATCGGCCTAGCTCTGTATGTTGCAGCCATTTGGGAGTGAATCAGTGCATGGAAGCTCGCTCTCTCTCTCTCTCTCTCTGCCACTGCCTCCCTATAACTCTGCCTTTCAAATAAATAAATAAATCTTAAACAATGGGGAAATTGGTTTTCTCAAATGCTATTGGAGATTGTGTAAAAAGTATGCCTGCTTTGGAAGACAGTATGGCAGAAAGCATGAAAGACCATATAAATATTCATTCCTTTGATCTACCAATTCCTACATTTATTAATTTATTCCTAGGAAATAATTATATATAGTATGAGTATGCAAAGATGTTTATCATAGCATCATCAAATAAGGAAAAACTTGCAAAGTCTTAAATCACATCGTTATGGACTGTTTAAATAATATGTTCATATAATAAGATATTTGTGGCCATTTGAAAAGTTGTAAAGGGACAGGTGTTTGGCCTGATGATAAAAATGCTGGTTAAGATGCCCTCATCCCATATTGGAATGCCTGGGTTTGATACCCAACTCCACATCTAACTTCAGCTTCCTGCTTATGCAAGCTCTTAGAGGTGGCAGAGATGTCTCAAGTAATTGTATTGTTTCCACCCCACGTGGAAGACCTGGATCAAGTACCAAGCTCTTGGCTTTGGCTATCAGTTTCAGCTCTTGACTTCAGTCTCAGGCATTGTAGGCATTTTGGGAGTGAACAGTGGCTGGGAACGCTTATTCTCTCTGCCTCTCAAAAAAAGAAAAAAATAAATGTTGCACAAGCATATTTTATATGGGAAAATTAACTGTATATAATAAAATAAAATACAGTGAAATGATAAAATATTGTGAGACTATAGGAGTTTTTATTTACAAATATATTTACTGTTATTTGCTATGTCATGTATTTGTATTCTTTTAGAAAGAAGGTACACATATGCTAGTGTATTGATGTTGATGTTGGGATTACAGGTGATGCTGTTCTTCCCTACTACCCGTAATTATACACACCTTTGAACTTTTTGTTCTTTTCCCAGTTTTCTGTAGTCAGAATTTCTTAGGTTTACATTAGGAAATAAAATACATTTATTTTTTAAAATGATATTCTCAATAGCAATTATGTAACTTAAACTATGTTTACTGAATTCCAGGTAACTCCAGTTGTTGCGCTTTCCAATGAATCCTGGTCAATGTCATTTGCAAAGTACCTTGAACTTAGGTTTTACGGGTACCAGTATACTCGGAGAGCCAATGCTGAGCCATGTGGTCACTCCATCCACCATGATTATCACCAGTATTTCTCCTATAACCAGATGGTGGCATCTTTCAGGTAAGAAGTCACAGGGACCTTGTACATGATCACATAATCCCTCAAAGGCTTTGCAACTTCTCTACCATTACTCAGATGAATTAATTTGTTGAGTATGCGTCTTTCACCATCTCTGTCCTTACAGATGTACAGAACCAGTCTCTGCCAACAGCTTTCCCTGTTACCCTAAGAAATAGATATTATTATTCTCACTTGTAGAGATTATAATTGTTCACTTGTAGAGTACATAAGTGGTGAAATCATGATTTGAACCCTGGTTGATCATTTATTACCAGCCTTACTCTTTTTTTTTTTTTTAAAGATTTTATTTATTTGAGAGTTAGAGGTACAGGCAGTGAGAGGAGACAGAGAGAAAGGTCTTCCTTCCATTGGTTCACTCCCCAGATGGCCACAATGACTGGAACTGTGCCGATCCGAAGCCAGAAGCCAGGAGATTCTTCCAGGTCTCCCATGTGGGTGCGGGGGCCCGAGCACTTGGGCCATCTTCTGCTTTCCCAGGCTATAGCAGAGAGCTGGATTGGAAGAGGGGCAGCTAGGACTAGAACCGGCACCCATATGGGATGCCAGCACCGCAGGTGGAGGATTAATTTACTGAGCCACGGTGCCGGCCCCCAGCCTTACTCTTTAACATTGTTTTAGCATCTGAAAATCTGTCAAAATTTTTGGTAAGACATGAACTAGAGCAACAGTAATCACATATTTCTGATAGAACTAAAAATTCCAATTGTGACATTAAATAATTTGAGAAAGCCCTTAGGCACTGCTTTCAAAATATGTTCAGGATGTGAACACTCTTCATCACCTCCATCACTGGTACTTTGGGCTGAGTCTCTTATCTTCAACTTAGATTGTCCTTGCCCCCTGTGACCTGTTGCCAACAAACAGTCAACACAGATTTTCCAGTTACAGGAAAAATCAGCTCAGGTCACTCCTCTGCTCTAGACAGTCCATGGGTGTCTTTTACCTGGGGTAAAATTCAGAAACTGTTTACTGGCCTGTAAGCTTCTGCATGTTCCAGCTGCCCAGACCTGCCTGCTCTCATCTACTACTATTTTCCCCTTGCTCACTCTGTGCAACCTTGTCAGCCCCATAACTGGGCCTCAGGAACAGGTAGGTTCCAAGCCTTGTGCTAATTCTTACCTCTTTGAACTGCTTCTCCAGATATCTGCCTGATGTTTCCTTATTCCCTGCAGGTTATTGTTCAGATTTCCCCTGCCCTGACACCCTCTTAGCCCTAGCACTCCCTATTGCTTCTTCTTGCTTTATTTTTCCCTACAGTACTTAGCATCTGATACATGTTTTAAATATTTATTTATTTATTTGAAAGCCAGAGTTACAGAGAGAGAGGGAGGGAAGGTGAAATACCTTCCATCTGCTTTTTTGCTCCCCAGATGGCCACAATGGCTAGTTCTGTGTCAGGTCCAAACAAGGAGCCCTGAACTCCATCCGGGTTTCCCACGTGGGTGTAGGGGGCCAAGCACTTAGGTCATCCTCTGCTGCTTTCTCAGGCACATTAGCAGGGAAGTAAATCAGAAGTGGAGCAGCCAGGACTCGAACTAGCGCTCATCTAGGATGCTGGTGTTGGAGGCAGCCGCTTAATTCAAGTACCACAATACTGACCCAAAGACTTGTTTTGTTATTATCTAAATCTTTTTATTTTTTTAATCAAGAGGACAGAAATTTTGGCCCTTGTTTAGTGCTATATCGTCAACACCTGTGACAGCATCTGGTATGTGGTAGAGCCTCAGGAAATACTCGCTAAGTGTAGCTTGGTTGGTTTTTTTTGAGCAGGTTTTAAGTTTGAGTCTGAAGCCTCGATGGGGTGTAGCGTTGGGTAGTCAACAGAAACATTCAGGTGCAAAGGAAGTAGACTCATGAAAAATTCTTGGGAGCTGGGAAGGTAATGAACACTTAATGTCTAAGCTAATTGTAGAAGAGAGTTCCTTTCCTTCTTCACAGGGAAGGCCTATATCAAAGTCATTTTTGTTTTTAAAACAGATAGAGATAGCCTTCAAGGGATAAATGGTTGCGCCATAGTGCAGTGAAAAGATAAAGTAAAATCCTCCCTAACGAGGGAGGGTGTTTATAATGGTTGGAAACTATCTTTAATATCTTTCTAAATGTGCATATGTGTGTGTGTGTGTTTTAAGGTTTTATTTATGGGGGCAGCGCTGTGGCATAGCAGGAAAAGCTGCTGCCTGCAATGCTGGCATTCTGTATGGGTGCCAGTTCAAGTCTCTGCTGCTCTGCTTCTGATCTAAATCCTTGTTAATGTGCCTGGAAAAACAGTAGAAGGTGGCGCAAGTCCTTGGATCCCCTGAGAGTTGGGTGGATTTTCAGTCTTCTGGCTTCCCCCTAATTCAGCCCTGGCTATTGTGGCCATTTGGGGAATGAAACAGCACATGGAAGATCTCTCTATGCCTCTGCCTCTTCTCAATAACTCTTTGAAACAAATAAGTAAATCTTAAAAAACAAACAAACAAACAAAAAAACCACCACAGCAAGCAGTGCAAAGTTTAAAAAAAAAGATTTTATTTATTTATTTGAAAGACAGAGTTGTATAGAGAGATCTTCCATCCACAGGTTCACTCCCCAAATGGCTGCACATGGATGCAGGGGCCCAAGCACTTGGGCCATGTTCCTCTGCTTTCCTGGTCACATTAGCAGGGAGCTAGATTGGAAGTGGAACAGCTGGGGCTTGAACCAGTGTCCATGTAGGATGCTGGCGATGCAGGTGGCAGCTTAACCTGCTGCATCTCGCTGCTGGCCCCTCTATAATTATTTTAATGTGACATTTCATAGAAGTTTTTTTTTTTTTTTTTTACATTTTCTCTTATATCTCAAAGGAATTAGTTTGTCATCATGATGTAGCTCTACTTAAGATATTAAAATATTCTTTTTCTGTTGTTACTTGTGTTTCCTTCTGTCAGTTACTCTCCCATTCGGCTTCTTGAAGTATGTGTTCCACTTCCCAAAATATTCATCAAACGTCAGGCCCCATTAAAAGTGTCCCTTCTTCAGGATCTGAAGGACTTCTTTCAAAAGTAAGTTTTTGTTTTTTTTTGATTATCCTTTTTTGTTTACTACTGTCTGTAATCTACAGCTATTTAAAAGTATAAGATTTTTTTAGCTTTCTTTGAAAATGTAAACTTTAATTTTCTAATTGTATGTTATATATGTTAGCAGTGAACACAGATTTTCTTGTTACAGAAAAATCAGCTCAGATCACTCCTATGTTCTAGACATCATGAGGGTGTCTTTTTCACCTGGACTTAAATTCAGAGACCATTTACTTGTGTTAAAAAAAAAAAAGAAATGTAGATAGTATAGAAAGTATTTTATTTTTATTTATTTCTCAGAATCATCAGATACTTTTTTATTTAAAAAATTTTAACAAGCTTATAAAATTATACATATTGATGAGATGCCATTTGATCATATACATACATATATACATTGTATAAATATTCAGTCAGTGTAATTGATCTATCAAACATTTAAAATTTCTTGATAGTGACAGCCTTCAAAATCCTGTCTTCCAGTTTTTTTTCTCTATAAAGAAATATATAGCACAATAAATTGTATGTAGTCTCCCTACTGTGCAAATATATCTTTTCAGGTCTTTTTTGCTCTACAGAATTATATCTGATTCTTAACTAGAGAAAAGATTTCAGTTATAGTTTTGTATGTAACATCTTTCCTGTTTATGTGAGAAAGAAAGTTTGATCCCACCTTCTGAAGTGCTTAGTGTTCTCTTTTTGTGTTGTTAAGAGTTTCACAGGTATACCTTGCTGTTGATGAAAGACTTGCGTCTTTGAAAACTGACACATTTAGCAAAACAAGGGAGGAAAAAATGGAAGATATCTTTGCACAAAAAGAGGTAATTCATTTCTTTGATAGAAAATCCAAAAATTAATTATTAACTTGTCAGAAGTTGTTTTTTGGGATATGTCTGTATATTGTTTCAGAAATAATTTGTTTTCCTTGTAGATGGAAGAAGGTGAGTTCAAGAACTGGATTGAGAAGATGCAAGCAAGGCTCATGTCTTCCTCGGTAGATACTCCTCAGCAATTGCAGTCAATATTTGAGTCCATCATTGCCAAGAAGCAAAGTCTCTGTGAAGTGCTCCAGGCTTGGAACAACAGGTACGATTTTGCAGGATGATTTTCTTTATATTATTGCCAAACATGTTCCTGCAAGACATTTTTTTAAAATCTTTATTATTTAGGGTACTTCATTTTACTTTAAAGTTATAGAAGCTTTTGTTTTCTTTTTTTTAACTTTTATTTAATAAATATAAATTTCAAAAGTACAACTTTTGGATTATAGCGGCTTTTTCCCCCCATAATTTCCCTCCTATCTGCAATCATTCCATCTCCCGCTCCCTCTCCCATTCCATTCACATCAAGATTCATTTTCAATTATCTTTATATACAGAAGATCAATTTAGTATATACTAAGTAAAGATTTCAACAGTTTGCACGCCCACAGAAACACAAAGTATAAAGTACTGTTTGAGTACTAGTTATGCCGTTAATTCACAAAGTACAACACATTAAGGACAGAGATCCTACATGAGGAGTAGGTGCACAGTGACTCCTGTTGCTGATTTAACAATTGACACTCTTATTTGTGACGTCAGTAATCACCTGGAGGCTCTTGTCATGAGCTGCCAAGACTGTGGAAGCCTCTTGAGTTTGCCAACTCCGATCTTATTTAGAAAAGGTCATAGTCAAGGAGGAAGTTCTCTCCTCCCTTCAGAGAAAGGTACCTCCTTCTTTGATGGACCGTTTTTTCCATTGGGATCTCACTCACAGAGATCTTTCATTTAGGTCATTTCTTTTTTTGCTACAGTATCTTGGCTTTCCATGCCTGAAATATTCTCTTGGGCTTTTTAGCTGGATCCGAATACATTAAGGGCTGATTCTGAGGCCAGAGTGCTGTTTAGGACATCTGTCATTCTGTGAGTCTGCTGTGTATCCTGCTTCCCATGTTGGATCATTGTCTCCTTTTTGATTCTATCAGTTAGTATTAGCAGACCCTAGTCTTGTTTATGTGATCCCTTTGACTCTTAATCCTATCATTGTGATCAGTTGTGACTGAAATTGATCACTTTGATTAGTGAGATGGCATTGGTACATGCCACCGTGATGGGATTGAATTAGAATCCCCTGGCACGTTTCTAACTCTGCCATTAGAGGTAAGTTCGATTGAGCATGTGCTGAACTGTACATCTCCTCCCCCTCTTATTCCCACTCTTATATTTAACAGGGATCACTTTTCAGTTAAATTTAAACACCTAAGAATAATTGGTGTTAATTGCAGAGTTCAACCAATTGTATTAAGTAGAACAAAAACATAGGACAGGAATAAAATAGTAAGTTGTTCCTCGACAGTCAGGACAAGGGCTAATCAAGTCATTGTTTCTCATAGTGTCCATTTCACTTCAACAGGTTTCCTCATAAGTGCTTGATTAGTTGTCACTGATCAGAGAGAACATATGATATTTGTCCCTTTGGGACTGGCTTATTTCACTCAGCATGATGTTTTCCAGATTCCTCCATTTTGTTGCAAATGACTGGATTTCATTCTTTTTGAATGCTGTATAGTATTCTATAGAGTACATATCCCATAATTTCTTTATCCAGTCTACTATTGATGGGCATTTAGGTTGATTCCAGGTCTTAGCTATTGTGAATTGAGCTGCAATAAACATTATGGTGCAGACAGCTGTTTTATTTGCCAATTTCATTTCCTTTGGGTAAATTCCAAGGAGTGGGGTGGCTGGGTTGTATGGTAGGGTTATATTCAGGTTTCTGAGGAATCTCCAGACTGACTTTCACAGTAGCTTGACCAGTTTGCATTCCCACCAACAGTGGGTTAGTGTCCCTTTTTCCACACATCCTCACCAGCATCTGTTGTTGGTAGATTTCTGAATGTGAGCCATTCTGACCGGGGTGAGGTGAAACCTCATTGTGGTTTTGATTTGCATTTCTCTGATTGCTGGTGATCTTGAACATGTTTTCACGTGTCTGTTGGCCATTTGGATTTCCTCCTTTGAAAAATGTCTATTGAGGTCCTTGGCTTATCTCTTAAGTCGGTTGTTTGTTTTGTTGTTGGAGTTTCTTGATCTCTTTGTAGATTCTGGTTATTAATCTTTTATCTGTTGCATAGTTTGCAAATACTTTTTCCCAGTCTGTCGGTTGTCTCTTCACTTTCTTGACTGTTTCTTTTGCTGTACATAAACTTCTCAATTTGATGCAATCCCAATTGTTAATTTTGATTTTGACTGCCTGTGCCTCCGGGGTCTTTTCCAAGAAGTCTTTGCCTGTGCCTATATCTTGCAGTGTTTCTCCAATGTTCTCTAATAATTTGATGGTGTTGGGTCGTAGATTTAGATCTCTAATCCATGTCGAGTGGATTTTTGTGTAAGGTGAAAGGTAGTGGTCTTGCTTCATGCTTCTGCACGTGGAAATCCAGTTTTCCCAGCACCATTTATTGAATAGACTGTCCTTACTCCAGGAATTGATTTTAGATCCTTGATCAAATATGAGTTGGCTGTAGATGTATGGGTTGATTTCTGGTGTTTCTATTCTGTTCCACTGGTTTATCCATCTGTTTCTGTCACCTTTTCCTTTCTTTTGTCCTTTAAAATATGTGTGCTGATCATTAGTTTGTGAAGATAGAAAAATCAAAGATGATAACAGCTCTCAGTGTTGTTTCAAATATGGTTCTGACCACTTCTGTCTGAAATGTATGTGCTGTTGACTTGAATATAACTGAATTAGTATGCTGTGAGTGATTGTTGGCTTTGGGGCCAGGAATTTCAAATATATATTGTTTATCTTATACCTTCATTGAAATTTCTATGTTTCAAAATACTTTATAACAAGTTGCTATTCCTTCTTTGTAACTATAGTCATATCAGCAAGAAATATCTACTGGTTGATTAGATATGTCAAAAACTTAGTCTTGCCGGCGCCGAGGCTCACTAGGCTAATCCTCCGCCTTGCGGCGCCGGCACACCGGGTTCTAGTCCCGGTCGGGGCGCCGGATTCTGTCCCGGTTGCCCCTCTTCCAGGCCAGCTCTCTGCTGTGGCCAGGGAGTGCAGTGGAGGATAGCCCAAGTGCTTGGGCCCTGCACCCCATGGGAGACCAGGATAAGTACCTGGCTCCTGCCATTGGATCAGCGCAGCGCGCCAGCCGTAGCAGCCATTGGAGGGTGAACCAACGGCAAAGGAAGACCTTTCTCTCTGTCTCTCTCTCTCACTGTCCACTCTGCCTGTAAAAAAAAAAGAAAAAAAAAAACAAAAAAAACCCCTTAGTCTTATATACAACTTTATTGCAGCCCACACGGGAAAATATAATTACCGTGATTTAAAGTTGGAAAAAAAATTTGTAAACATTCCGGGTGCCTGTAACACAACCTTATTTTTTTTCGTTTGGCCTTAGGTTGCAAGACCTCTTCCAGCAGGAAAAGGGGAGAAAGCGACCTTCAGTTCCTCCAAGTCCTGGGAGGCTGAGACAGGGAGAAGAGAACAAGGTAAAGCACTGCGATCTTTTCTGTGTTCCCTAATACAAATGTGGTTCTGTTTATAACATTTTGAAGTGGTGGGTTAATACATAGTTCATTAAAATCATATAAGACTTTCCTTGAAAGTTGTGAGGGTTTCAAGGAGTTATATCCTGGAGTACTTTTATATCCTAGACTAAAATCAAATGACAGTTCATTTGAAATATGTATAATACTTACAATTCATTTGAAATATTTGTTAGTAAAGAAAAAAATAGTCTACTGGCATCACTGAGGATAGTATCACAATGACAGCAAGTGCTGCAAAGGAGTGGATGTGGATATGTGAATATATAGTTAGAGTCCTCATTTATTTTACTGTGCAATTCTGGGTGTTGTTTATCTCTGTGCTTAAAAGAGAAACTCTTAAGGTGTCAACTGAGCAAGTTCTATGCTTCTATTTAATTCAATTCTTTTTCAATTATGTTTGTTTTCTCTTTCTGAGCAAGAGTACCAGAAACTTAGTGTTCGAAACAACAAATTTTATTATTATTTTATTATTTCATAATTTCCGTGGGTCAGATCTGAGATGCATGGCTGGATTTGATTTCTCCTGAAATCAGGGAGTTAGTCTTCGCTAAGACTCAAGGTCTTCTTCCAAGCGTATTATCATGGTTGAAAGAATTTGGTTCTTATTAGTAGGACTGAGGTCCCTGATTTTGCTGACTGGTGATCAAAAGCCATTCTTTTGTTTTCCTTCTTAAATTTTTTTAAATTTATTTTTTTGTTCATTTAAAAGAGAGGGAGGGGAGGTAGGAGGGAGGGAGAGAGAGAGCGAGAAAGAGGAGGGAGAGATACCTGCCATCTGCTGATTCGCTTCCCAAATGCCCACAAAAGCTGGAGCTGGACCAGGCTAAAGCCTGGGACCCAAATGCTTGAGCCACCACCTCCTGTGTCTTTTTGCACCCTTGCTCCCGAGTATGTATCACTAGGAAGCTGGAATCTGGATCAGAGCCTGGGCTTGAAGCCAGGTGCACTGATATGGAATGTGTGTGTCTCAAGCAATGTCTTAACTGCTACATCAGATGTCTGCCACCTAGAAGCCATTCTTAACTCTTAGAGTCTGCTTGCATTCTGTGAAATTTGCTCTTCTCCATCTTCAAAGCCTGTGAATAGTGTGTTGAATCCTTCTTAGATTTCAAATCACATAACTTCATCTGTTTCTGATCTATAAAAGCTGATTTACTGATGTGATTACTTCAGGCCCAACTGTATAACTTCTTAATTTTGAGGACAGTTAATTTGGAACTGATTTTACATCAGTAAAATCCCTTTGCAGCAGTACCTAAATTAGTGTTTGAAGTTGGAAGAAGCCTCATACGCGTCAGATGCTGGGAATCTTAGGGTCATTTTAGAATTCTGCCTGTCACTCTGACCATACTTGTATATTGCATGACTTACAGGTTGAGTAGAATCTATTGTGTATATCTACCATGTTTTCTTTATCCCTTCATCAGTGTCTTGACAGATTGTTTTCATTTCTTGGCTGTTGGAGGGAATAGTGCTACAATTAACATGGAAGTGCAGATAATTCTTCCTTATCCTGATTTCATTTCCTTTGGGTATATATTCTCTGTGTGAGATTACTGAATCATATGGTAGTTCTAGTTTTCATTTTTTGAGGAACCTCCATACTGCTTTCCATAATGACTGTTGATAAATATTCTTGAGTGTTATGTGTTAGAGATACTCTTCTAGGTTATAAGGCATATGATTCTGAACAAAGATCAGTTGCTGTTCCCATGGAACATTTGAGATGACAGTAAGCATATGGACCAATAAACATTAGAAGCAACAAATATAAAATTGCCAAGAAGAAAAAAAATAAGTATTGCTGAGGGTGTGAGTCAGTGGTGATGGGAGTAGCATAGAGTGGCTGAGGAGGTATCTCTAATTTGGAGAACTTCAATCAAAGAACTGCAACATGACTTTGTAAGGGAATTGTACATGGAGTTTATAGTCATTCTAGGTATATCTTGAAGAGGTTCAGTGGATAATCATAGATTACTAGGTTTAATAGGTAATCCTAAGTATTCTTACATGCTCTCATGCTAAGAAGTGAGCCATGGTTTAGAACAGTATTCCCATGATGTGGTTCAAGGATTCCAGAAAGTCTTTATTAAATACAGAAACCTGATGTGACCAGCTGAATATTAAAGGTATTTGTGAGGATGTAAAACAGTGCAACTTTTTTGTAATTTTGGAAAATAGGTATTATTTTATTAAATAAATAAGTTGTTTATGTTATCATGTAATAGGTTTATTTTTAAATTAATAAATGTATACTTTTAACTTTAATTTGTAATAAGGTAACAAAAGCTATTTTAAATTAGCAAGGGAGTTCTTAGTGATTTCTAAGATTATGACTGGGTCCTAAGACTAAAGTTCAAGATTTACCAAGTTGAAAAAAAATTTTTCAAAGTGATTTTAGTGTTTTCTCAAGAATAAAGTACTTACTTATCTATAGATCAGTGCAATGGATGCATCTCCCCGGAATATTTCTCCAGGACTTCAAAATGGAGAAAAAGGTTGGTCTTTGAATCTTGTGATCACATACCATTAGATTTAAGGAAAGTTCTTAATGTATATTTAACTGCTCATTTTGAATGTTTTTCTTCTGATGCAATTGTTAATAGTCTTTGCCTTTCTGTAGAAAATTCATAACTGTATCAGCCTAAGATTATCATATAGTATGATATGTTACAAGAAGATACATTAGGATATAGATATATGAAATGCGGAGAGGGTGATTCTTAGAGGAAGAAGAAACAGAAAAACAGAAATGGAATTTCTGTTTTGCTTATTTCGAAGTCAATCCCCAGGTTTAATTGCAAAAATCTTATATTGCTTAATTTTTTTTTACAAAAGATGTATTTATTCATTTGAAAGTTGGAATTAATAGAGACAGAGGGAAAGACTGAGAGAGAAATCTTCCATCCTCAGGTTCACTCCCTAGATGGCTGCAATGACTAGTGCTGGGCCAGGCTGAAGCCAAGAGATAGGAGCTTCATCCAGGTTTCCTACATAGGTGGCAGAGGGCTCAAGTACTTGCACCATCTTCTGCTGCTTTCCCAGGTCATTAGCAGGGAGCTGGATTGGAAATGGAGCAGCTGGGACTTGAACTGTAACCTATATGGGATGCTGGCTTCATAGGCAGTGACTTTATCTACTATGCCACGACACTGGTGCCTAGCTTAATTTTTTAATGCCAGTACAATCTTTTCAAAACATAAGATGTCTTTCATAGAATTCCATTGAATTACTTGCTACCATCATAGAAACTCTGTGGAAGTCTTTATAGAATAAAAGATAAACTCATAATTCTTGTTATTTTTCTATTATAATTTAATGTCTTCTCATCCACAAAATGAGCCTGTAGCTTTTCCCACAATATACTAATTTCATTTTCTATTGCACTGAAAAGCTAGTATTTACATAAACATTTTGGTACAATGTAAAGAGTGTTACTAGACTTGGTTGCCAGTCTCCATACTGCCAGCAAAATTTGTTTGTGGTCAAGCCATAATATCTTTGTCAATTTTTGTGGACATTTTTATGACTTGAGCTATATGACCTAGATAATCTTTGAAAGCTAAAATTATGCTTCAGAAGTATAAATATAAGTTGACACCGTTAAAACATTAACATTAGGTAGAAAGCGATTTACTGTTTCTAAATGACTCATTTAAGATTGTGCTTTTCTTTAGAGGATCGGTTCTTAACAACCTTGTCCAGCCAGAGCTCCACCAGTTCTACTCATCTGCAGTTGCCTACTCCCCCTGAAGTTATTTCTGAGCCATCCATGGGAGGACCCTCTGAACTGGACACAGCTAGCAGTTCTGAAGGTACAGTTAAAGTCACTTTTACCGTATTTCATTGAACCTAAGACTGAAAGATGTATCTTTGGCTTGTATGTTTCTCCAAGACAGAACACTGCTAATTGTTTGACAGATGCTTTCTTATCCCTTAGAATTTTTTCTGTTTGATATTTATTTAAAGTGCTTTTTTAGGTGTAGTATTTTATTTAGTCACTATTTCTTTAGTTGCACTATTTGACATATTAATACATCTGGAAAAAAAATCATTGAGCTTCATCTACCTCTGGTGGTCTTACTTTCTTGAGTGCCATAAAGCGTGTGGTTACTGCTATGTAAGAAAATAAGAGATTGTAATCATTTCTTCAACAACAAAACATTGCTTCATAATAGCAGATTCATGCCTTGTTTCTTTATTTCCTTGCTTTCTGTATGAGCTCTAACTACTAAATTACAGTGTAAACTTTAAAATTAACTTTAAAATTACTGCCGTTATCTGGTGTAATAGCCACAGTACACATAACTGAACAAATTGACAGGTGAATAGCTGTGAATAAGTTCATGTGTGATCAGGAAGCAATTTGATCATAGTTGATGCCTTACTCCTTGGATGGTTTGAAGCTGTTGACTGTGGGTTGATCTCAATTTCAGATGTGATAAAATATAAAAAGAAAAATAAATGTCCCTAAGAGTCACCTTTTGTAAATAAGAAATTTTGAATCATAGTTGGTAATTACGGTATGTTTAAGTCTGTGTTTCTAAAAGGAAAAGAAATAAATTTGACTCTTTATATTTTTTATTCTTCATTAATATTAGTATATAAGTAGACTACTTTTCATCCTAGATGTGTTTGATGGACATTTGCTGGGATCCACAGACAGCCAGGTTAAGGAAAAGTCAACTATGAAAGCCATCTTTGCAAATTTGCTTCCAGGAAATAGCTATAATCCTATTCCATTTCCTTTGTAAGTATTATAAAATCTAGTAGCTATGGAGTAGTTTTATTTTGCCTTAATTAATTAAAAAATTCTCTTTAGCCTTATTTCTGCACATTTAAACATGTTTATCTACATGTATATATTTCTCATTCTTAAGTTTCTTCATAGTAAAGAGATAGCTTTTAATACATGGTTTGTAGAACACATAATTATTAAATGGTAGGTGAATGGATGAAAAAACATTGCTTAATGGAAACAATTGTATATATATATTTTTTTCCTGATACTCTGCTATTCTTCCATTAGTTTCATAATCCTAAAAACATATTGTTGGTTTTATAGGAGGTTAATTTTACCGGCCAAATAATTTTGGGATGTGTCACTCTTCTAGCAGTGTTGATAAGTTGCATACAAGTTTTTGTGATCTTTGTTGTACTGGGCTTACTCAGATTGGGAAAGAATATAAGGAGACTTTGAAAGTTTGTTTTTCTTCCACTGGTTGACCTGTGTGGCCATCAAATATTGCTTTTGTTATGGTTGTACAAGTAAATCCAAAAGGTGGACATTTGTTAATAAGAACTTTTATTTATTTTTAACTGGCTTAAGTCAGTCAATATTTACACTTTTATTTATTGCCTGCTGTAGTATCCCAAGATATAGAAAAGGACTCGTAAGGAAAAATCACGACTCTTAGTAGTTCCTAATCATGGTGAGGAGACAAGCAGACTCACAGTATAGTATGTGATATGTTGGTTAATAGTAATATGTAAAAGATCCTTGTTTTTTCAGTTTGAGACCTAGATGTTTTAGTATCTTGAATGGACTGTGATTCCTCCTATTTTATAGTCTTTGTTCATGCTGTCATCTTCTTTCTGTATCATTAAGTCCTATTCTTTGTCAGGAAAACTTTTCTAGACCCTCTTCCTAACCTAGTCCCTGACCAGATTAGGTTTCTTTGTTATATACTGTTATGATTCCTGTCTTAGGTCAGGCTGCTATAATACTTAAACATAGACTGAATGGCTTAAAAACAACCAAAATTTATTTTTCACAGTTGAGATCAGGGTGCCAGTATGGTTGGGTTGTGGTAAAGAACCTCTTTTGATTATAGATTGGTATCTTCTCTTTGTATCCTGACATGGTAGGAAAAGGGCTAGAGAACTCTTTCAGGTCTCTCTTATAAGGTCTTGAGGAGTCTGTCCTCATGACCTAAATTACCTAACAAAGGCCTCACCTCCTAATACCATCATGTTGGGGGTTAGGATTTTGACATACAATTTTTTTGGGAGAGTAGAACTTTATATCCCATAATATTTCCCTTGTAGTACTTATCACAGCGAGTGGTTATATTTATTTGTAGGATTGTTTCTTTACCCCACTTTACTATAAACTCTACAATGCCTATTTTTTTTCACCATCATTTTACTAACTACTCACACATGTAAATGGTTAGTAGTGTTTTCTCTGCATCTCCCTGGCACATATGTATCTGTCTTACTAAGTAAGTGGCACCTAAATAAAATGATTAACTGCATGTAATAGTGCCTTGGACAATTAGGGTAGACTTAAGTGAGCAAAATTTTGGTTGAGATGACATTACTATTGAGTTTCCATGTGATAATAGTAGAGTGGCTGTATTCTGTTATTTATTGTTGGGCTAGTAGTATGTCTTTACAGTTTCTAGAAGATATTTTGTAAAACACAAAATATTTTACTTCTGTTCATTACAAATTCTTTTGGGCATTAATATGGCCAGAGTCTTGGCAGAATGGAAAGCTTTGTTTGGAGTAACTCTTTCAGGACCTTTTAATTTGAAACCTCAGTCTGATAATTTCCTAATTGCATTAAATTTTTTTCTCTTGATGTTCTTTTGTGCTGTTTTAAGTTCTTAGCACCTGTTCACATTTTGGTTTATTTAATTATTATTGTGTAGGATTTAATTAACTTAAAATTGTTCTTTGTGACTTACTTAATACTAGTTAATGGATTTTATATGTGATTTTGCACTAATTTATGTATTTTAAAACATTTGAACAGTGATCCAGACAAACATTATCTAATGTATGAACATGAGCGGGTACCCATTGCAGTCTGTGAGAAGGAACCCAGCTCCATCATTGCTTTTGCTCTCAGGTATTATCCATGGGACTTTTCTATTTGTGGTTGTATCTGTGTGTTTTATATATATATGTCTATTTTTTAAGATAGTTTATTTTTTAGAAGGCTTTTATTTAATGAATACAAATTTCATATGTACAGCTTTTAAGAATATAGTAGTTCTTTCCCCCATTCCTGCCTTCCCACCCCTACTCCCATCCCACCTCCTACTCCCTCTCCCATCTCATTCTTCATTAAGGTTCATTTTTAATTGACTTTATATACAGAAGACCAACTCTATACTAAGTAAAGATTTCAACAGTTTGCACCCACACAAAGTATAAAGTACAGTTTGAAGACAAGTTTTACTGTTAATTCTCACAGTATACCTCATTAAGGACAGAGGTCCTACATGGGAAGTAAGTGCACAGTGACTCCTGTTGTTGATTTGACAATTAACACTCTTATTATTTTTGACATCAGTGACCACCTGATGCTCTTGACATGAGCTGACAAAGCTATGGAAGCCTTTTGAATCCACAAACTCTGTCACTGTTTAGTCAGGGCCATATGCAAAGTGGAAGTTCTCTGCTCCCTTCAGAGAAAAGTACATCCTTCTTTGATGGCCACTTCTTTTCATGGGGTCTTACTCATAGAGATCCTTCCATGCAGAACATTTTTTGCCACTATGTCTTGGCTTTCCATGCCTGAAATGCTCTCATGGGCTTTTCAGCCAGATCTGAATGCCTTAGGGACTGATTCTGAGGTCAGAGTGCTTTTTAGGGTGTTTGTCATTCTGTAAGTCTGTTGTGTGGACTGGTTTCCATGTTGGAACTTTCCTTTTTAATTCTATCGTTATTATCAGATACTTGGTCTTATTTATGTGATCCCTTTGACACTTAATCTCATCTATATGATCAATCCCACACTTAATATGATCACTTTATCACATAAGATGGGATTAACACCATCTAGCTTAATGGCATTTGGAGTCCCATGGTGAGTTTTTTGCTTCACCCTTAGGGGTAAGTCCGTGAGAATGTGTGCTGAACTGTACAGCTCCTCCCTCTCTCATTCCCTCTCTTATTTTTAACTGGGATCTATTTTCAGTTGTTATGTATGTCTGTTAATCACCTTATTTTGGGAATTTTTCACATAAAATAAAGCAAAAATGACTGAATGTAAACAAAATATATGTTTTTTGTACAATAGTCTATTCTCTTTGTACCTGAAAACCTCTTAACCAAAATAATGGGGGATTGGGTGATTCATAAGCAAGCTCCAAGTAATAACCTTGAATAGGCAAATTATTTATTAATCCTTGAGTCCTCTGACCATTCTCTGTATTATAATTTGAATTCTTTGTATCCCTTTCTTTGATTTACTTATTGATATAGTACTGAGAACACACCAACCTTTTGTTTCCTTTTTTGTACTTTTTACTCTTTGTACTTTTTTACTCCTGTTTTCCACACATATGAGGTAAAATTTTCCTATTTAATACCATTCCTATGCCTTACTTTGTAGACATTTTTGACTTTTTGATTTACATAATTATGTGTTTAAAAGAAGTTTCTTGATTTGAAATTATTTATAAATTAATGTTAAAAATAATGTAACTTTTTAGTCTTAATGTCTTGGCAGTGATTGAACTTAGTTTAAGTAGAATCCAAGATGTTTAATTAAAACATTTTTTTCTATTGGAAGACATTAAAATTTTTAAGTTTTCTTTTTAGATATTTTTTCAAGGAATCTGTTTATTTAACAACTATTCAGTGTCTGCAAAATATTCTGTTAGGTGTGCAATGAGCAGTGGTAAACAGGATAGACTTATATGTACTTCTGCCTTTATAGATGGAGCTTAGAGTTTATTGTTTAGATAATGAGAAATTTTTTCCTCTGTAAGATTCCATATGACACACTTTTTATCTTTACCTTTTGGACTTTCTGAAAATACTGTTTGCTTCTCATTTCATTAACTAGTCATAATATATTAATAGAAGAAGTATGAAAGTCAACTAAGTAGAAAGTATTTTTTATACCACGAGGAGCAACTATCCTACTTGAGGTCATCTTCTTTCAGTATTTAGAAAAAAATAATGTAGTTGTCCACTGGTATCTGCAGAGTTGGTTCCAGAACCCCTTGTAATACCAAAAAATCCATGGATACTCAATACCTTTGTATAAAATGATGTAGTATTTGCATATAACCTATGCACAAAAATACTGAAAATTATCTCTAGATTATTTATAATAACTGATACAACATAAATATGATGTAAATACTTGTTATACTGTATTGTTTAGGGAATAATGACAAGAAAAAATAGTCTATACATATTCAGTACAGATGAAATTTTTTTTAATGTTTCTGATCTGCAGTTGATTGAATGGTGCAAAAACTGTGGTTACAGAGTGTGCTGAATGTTCATCCTAACATGCTTTTCTTTTTCCATGACATTTGATTTATCTAAAACAGGGCTCTCAGGCTTCTAGTCTGGGAGTCAGATCTTTAGAAGTTAATAGAACACTACCTAAAAACTTCTTTCTTTAAGTTTATTACTTTTAAATAGAAAAGTACTTTTAAGTTTTTAAATTCTCTATTGTATTAAACCCTGAGGTTTCATACTTTTAAATCAGCTGTTCAACCTCTGAAGTCATATGATTTAAATGTTAGTAAGTAGGCTTTTTGGTTATTGTTGAGGATATTGATATTGGATGATGAGTCAATGGATTGTATGTGGATTGTATTTTCTGTGAAGATATTAGACTTCCTCCTGAAGCCTCTACTTGATCACTTTTGTTAGTTAACCCATATAAATATATTTGGTTCATTGTGGACACTTACACTGATTGTATTTTTATAATTCAAACTTATTCTAAAGCATATGTTTTACTTATTTTTAAAGAAGGGTTTGATGTTAAATATTTTTCAAACTATTTCTGCCCTAAGTTGCAAAGAATACCGAAATGCCTTAGAAGAATTGTCTAAAGCAACTCTATGGAACAGTGTTGAAGAAGGGCTTCCAACAAACAGGTGATTGATGACTGAGTAGACGATTGTAATTTAGTTATGGTGTCATTTTTTATGTTTGTACTTCAGTTTTACTATAGCATATCATTGGTATAAAAATTTCAAGGATCCAGATAATGTATGTGTGTGTTTGTGTGTGTATAGTATATGTATTGTATATATATATATATATGTATTACAATTTTTATTTATTTGAGAGAGTGAGAGAATTTCCATTTGCTGGTTCATTTCCCAAATGCCCAGGGCTGAGACTGAGGCTAGACGCCAGGAACTCAAAGCAGGTCTCTTATGTTTGTGGCTGGAACCCAGTCTATTTTACCATCACTACTGCTTCCCAGGATCTGTGTTGGCAGGAAGCTGGAACCAGGAGTCAGGGCTAGGAATCAGCCCCAGAGACTTCAAATGAGATGGTGCTGTCTTAACCTCTAGGCCATATGCCTGCCTAATGACACTCAAATTTTCATCAATAATTGAGATAACAAAATGCAAGTATAGCAACCAAGATGTTAACTAATTGTTTAGGGTACTGTTTTCTGATAATTGCTGTAACAGTTAATGTACAAGTATGTTACAAATTTAAATTTTGAACATTTTTGAAAAGAATGAGAAAAATATTGTTTTCATTTTAAAAAATAAGGCTAGGCATTTGGCTTAGTGGTTAAGCTAAGATAGTTTATAATATTTATATTATCTATATAAATCTATATTAACATATATATTACATTAATATAATATAATATATATCCCATATAATAAAAGAGCTTAGGTTAAAGTCCTAGCTCTGTGCATTCCTGTTAATGTACTCCCTGGGAGATAGCAGGTGATGGCTCAAGTAGTTGGGTTCTTGACATCCACATGGGAGCCCTGGATTGGATTCCCAGCTTCTGGCTTTGGTATGGCCCATCCCTGGCTGTTGCACGCATCTGGGGAATGAATCAGTGAAATGTAATTATCTGTTTCTACGTGTCTCTCTTTCTCAGTGCTTCTGTGCCTCCCTCCCCCCCCAAAAAGGTAACTTATGAAATTAATAAGCTATTGCTTTCTTTCTAGCTTAAAGAATTTGTGAATTTTCTGAAATAACTAAATAGCCCAGTAGTAAAAGTGACAATATCCTAAACCAATTCTTTTCACATGCTCAGTAATTGAGACAGTTAGATAGAAATCATCATGAGGTCATTATTACTAGAATGGATTTTCCAACTTTACTAACATGGTGACTAGCATGAACAAAATGAAATTGGTATTTTTTGTAATTGTTTGACTTAAAGATGCTGATATAACTCTAATAGACTATATATATATTATAAAAGTCTATGCTTTCTTAAATTTTTCCATACATATTTAAATTTGTAGCATTTTACTTTATTTTTACAGCATTTAACTTAAGTCTAATAAAATTTCAAGACTTTTTCTTCTATGTTCTAATCTGTTTTATGTAAATTTTGAATCAGATGATATTGTGTATAGGGTAAGGTAGAGAATAAATTAGTGTAGGAATCAGAATACTTGTTACATTCTATCTAAATAGTATAAAGCTAATTTGTCCTTTCTTTTTCATTTTAGTATTTTAGACAGCAGACCAAAGAGTAGCAGCCCTATTAGATTACCTGAAATCAGTGGAGGACAGACAAACCGTACCACAGAGGCAGAACCACAGCCAAGTAAGATTACAAATGGAAAAGTGTTTATGATTAGTTTTACTTATAAGTATGATGTGAAGAAGAAAGAACATTAAATAAGAAATGCCATCTGGCAAAGATTTATTATTTCTGATCTTTGAAATACATGGATTTAAACATTTTTGGTTTTTTTTTTTTTTTAGATGTTTTGTTTTTCTTCTTTGATTCTTATCTTAGATGTAAGTTCAAGTTACTGAATTTGAAATTCTTTAAAAGCTTCTTGGTGTTTGCAAAAGGAGGATCAACCTTTCTGGAACATTCACTGTAAAATGTACAACCTAGGAAATATAACAGCAACTTATATTTTTTTCTTGGGAGTATGAAAGGAAACTTTCATGTTATCTCCTTTAATCTCAATAATAATTGCATTGGGATTTTTTTTTTGTATATACTAATTTATCAGAAAAGAAGTTAAATTTAGATTAAGTGATTTGCTCAAGATTAGACAGTAATGGATCTGGGATTTGAACTTGCATTCTTGAATTTGTCAGAGAAGAACACATTCAGCAAATAGAAAATTCAGCTGACTGTAAAGGCTTAAACAAATGAACATTTCATTTTCTAAAATAACTATGTGTGGAGGTAGGCAGTTGCTGGCATTAGTTCAGCGTCTCAGCATTATTAAGGCAATACCAGGATAGTTTTTCCTTGTGATGATCAACTATTTCATGTTTATTTGCATTTGATACAGAAAGAAGGGTGGTGCAAGTTGCACCTGTTTTCTTTCATTGGGAGAGCTTCCCTTCCCTCCCAAACTGTTCCCCACCCATCCTGCCCAACACGTACACACTTGTCTCATTGGTTAGATTTAAATCTGTTAGCTACTTTGCAAACCATGATCCATTTCCTGGAGCTTTCCATGTAGCTACTCCCACTGACACTGGAATTCTGCCAGCAAGGAACTAGGTAGAGTAGGTTCTAAGAAATAATAATGTCTGCCATGCTAAGTAAGAACTTGTGATTTTCTGTGGATTTTTTAAATGGTAAATTTACAAGATTAGAATATACATACTAATGATATGACTAATGAAGCTCAAAAACCAGGATTAAAAGTAAAAAGCAAGGTTTAGTAAATTCTTGCCTATTCTATTGTGTTTATGTTTTGAAAGATGCTAAAAGCAAGATTTTATATTTTTATATTTATATTTTTATATTTTCCTGTGCTAGAATGTAGTAACACAAATAATACAAGGAAGTTATCCTTAACTCTGAGTTCCTCTAGATTGTGAAATTTTTTTGTGTTTTAACTGAATTGTAATATTTTAAAATCGCAACCTTAATTTACTGTTGTTTCTTAAGATATCATCATATCTGTCTTTGAAAAATAGACTTGAAAGACTTTCCAGAAAATTTCTCACATTTTGGTATTCAGGTAGTTTCTACTAAGTTTCTACTACTACGGAACAATAGCATGTGGAATAATAATCTGCGCGAATGAAAGTATTTGCATTATTCAGATTTACTAGCCTCATAATGGTTACTGCTAACAAAGGATTGAGTTGAAAATTTTTATTTTCCCCTTGCAGTGACCTGTACTTAAAATTAATATGTTACCTCTTATTTTTAGCCAAAAAGGCTTCTGGAATGTTGTCCTTCTTCAGAGGGGCAGCAGGGAAAAGCCCTGATCTCTCTTCCCAGAAGAGAGAGACCTTGCGTGGAGCAGATAGTGCTTACTACCAGGTTGGGCAGACGGGCAAGGAGGGGACGGAGAATCAAGGCATTGAGCCTCAAGGTGTGTTAAAGTAGACCAAATGTGCATACTGTAGGCTTTAATATACTTATTTTAGTTGTTTATGTTTCTGCAGCCTTAGTAGATAATTCTTATTGCTGAAACCAGAGCATTTCTTGCATCTCATTCTTCAGTGTAGTGGAGTAGAAAAAGCATGGCACTTGGAGCATCCAACTGGTTTCGGATTTCATTGCTATCACTTACTGTGTGGTAGAATCAGAAATCTTTAAGTATTATACCTGTAAAGTGGCAAAAACAATGTCTTTCACAGTTTACTGACGATTACGTGGCGTTACATATGTAAAACAACTGTCTCACCAAGTATATAGCATATACTCCAGTGTCTTCATTCCACTGTCCCTTCTGATCTTTTCTTTCTTTTCCAGTCTCTATGAGGTTGTGGTTCCTGTGTCCATGTTTGTTTTGATGTTTAAAAAAAGCCTATCCAATTGTGTTTGGTTATAGGTTTAGAACACTAGTTGGCAGACTGTGCTGACCTGTTTTTGTAAATAAACTTTATCGGAACACATGCATACCCATTCACTTAGTCTTGTCTTGTTGCTTCCATATTACATTGAGAATTTGAGCAGTTTTAGCTGGATAAAATATTTACTATCTAGCTCTTGACAGAAATAGTTTGGTGACCCCTGAGTTGAACATGAGGTAGTAGTTTAAAAAAAAAAAAAACAGCAACATGGTACCATAATAAATTTTCCTTAGTAATCAAGGTATCTATTTAGTATCTCATAGGTAGCTATTGGACTATGTAATCCTTGAAATGTGTTCCTTGAAAGACTTTAATGTTTCAAAAAATGATTTTCAAGCCTGAAACTTAGGGAATGATGTGTTCTAGATATTAAGATGTATTATAAATCAACAGTTAACAGGATGTATATGGCAGATTTGCCATCTAAATCAGTGATATTGCCATATAAATCAGTCATATACCAAACACAACTCTGAAATAGAACCTGGTATATTTTATGCATCTATATATATATTATATAGAATAGTATATAATAAAGAAAGCAGTGCAGTCTTTTGGAGAAGTACTACTTACACATGGGGAAAACTGGTCACAAATTGCTTCTTGGCCTTTTGGCTAAGGTCAAGTGAAAACTAGTCATAAAATCTGAATAAAGAGGCCCTGGAAATTTTTGTTTGAAGGGCTGAGTTTATATATTGTTATCATAGGAATTGATTAAATGTAAGAAAAACTATTCAACTTGAATTCTAATTTTTATCTATTAAAATTTCAAAAATATATTTTATTGTAATTATTTATACAGGCTAATTGTACGTCTAATGCTTGATAATGATTTAACTATTATATTTTTACTTTTGATATGCTAATTTTATTGTTATATCAGAGAAAAAAGAAAAGACAATGAGCTATGTAAAACTTTGCCTTTACTAATGATATTGAACCTTTTAGATGAGGTCGATGGAGGAGATACACAAAAGAAACAACTCACAAATCCTCATGTGGAACTTCGTAAGTCTGCAATAATACATTGTCTTGTGGAGAGTGACTAATTGAGGAAACTCTATTATTTGAGACTTCTGTCTTCATACCAGATAGATGTCCTGTTATTTGAAATGATATGCTGGTATGAGGTTTATTTAATCTGTAGTTCATAAAATATAAACTAATCCATAAAGAAAAAAAGAAATTTAAATATAGTTTAATTTATGAATTTATACATTTTACTTTATTTGATTTCTAATATTTAAACATTTGCATATTTACTCACTCTGTAATCAAGAGCCACAGGAGTCTTGACAAGGCTATATATATATATATATATATATGGCAGAAATTTATTGTACAGAATATCATATACAGTAAATTTTAAGGTGTGAATTAAGAATTGCTATAAAAATACAATGATTCTGAAAATGTAGTAACCAGTATAAAATTAAAACTGAGTCTTATTTTATGTTTAATTTTTTAAAAAATATGTAAGGATGATCATATGATGTTTTCTGATTTCCCCTGGAGATGATAGAACTGTGGCAAACATGGATTTAGATTTAACATGAAAAATGCTTTTATGAAGATACTTAAGTGAATGCATTTAGGAGGACATCACAAGGAAAAGATATTTTCTGATTCATGAAAGGTTGCTATTTTTGTTCACAGAATTTTCTGATGCTAATGCCAAGTTTTACTGTCGGCTCTACTATGCGGGAGAGTTTCATAAGATGCGTGAAGTGATTCTGGGCAGTAGTGAGGAAGACTTCATTCGTTCTCTCTCCCACTCATCTCCCTGGCAGGCCCGAGGAGGCAAATCAGGAGCTGCCTTCTATGCGACTGAAGGCAAGTCTTATTTTCCGATTAAGTGATCTCCATCTTTTTGCCTCATAATTAATCAGTCAGTTAAACTGAGGGAGCATGGTATTGTCTATTAGCAAACAAGGTGTTCTGCTTTCTTTTTATGCTTGAAGAGATGTAATAAAATTTTTAGAAGACTATGTACTGTATATGTTTGCAGTGAGACTAAGGCATTGATTAATTCCTTATTAAACTCTCTCTAGTTCTGAGTTCTCCAAATATAAGCAGTGACAGGGAACTTTTAGAAAACTCAAAAGGTACCTCAGAAGTAATGAAAGGTAAAATAGAACTATTTACCGTGAAAAACAGACCAAGTTCTTGCAGAGGTTTACAAAATATCATGACCATCGATATTTCACATTCTATTCTCTGAATCTGCTAAAAGCAAAATTATTTTGAGAAAATGCAAAAGGAGGGGTATTGGTTGATAAGAACTTCATAACTGTGACTAACTGAATTGTTAACAAAGGAGTTTCCAAAATTTCTGCGGTGATTCTAGAAAGTAGATCATGGATTTAAGTATGTTACAGTTAAAAGCAGAGAATACTTGACCCTATAAATCCTTAGGTTCTCTCCCAGATCTTTATTACTTAAGACTTTTTTTTTTTTTTTGATCAAAAATTTCACTGTGACATCAGAAAATACCCTTTAAAAACATAAAACAAGCAAATGATTTTGGATCTTTGGCATGATATCCTATAGATTACATTATTTATTGTGACTGAATAAACATTAATTTTCTGCTCCTTAGATGATAGATTCATTTTGAAGCAAATGCCTCGTCTGGAAGTCCAGTCTTTCCTCGACTTTGCCCCACACTACTTCAATTATATTACAAATGCTGTTCAACAAAAGGTAGAAATCCCAAATCTTGGTCTATACTCAAGGTTTACTGGGCTTTTTGACATCCTGAGGGTTAATATTAATGGCAGTTTTCTCCGTGGTTAAGATATGAACAGAACATGACTGGATTTCTGTAATGCTTTTAATAGAGTGCTGAAATTTCAAATATATTTTTCTTGCCTTTGCTGGTGAAGAACCAAGTAATCTTCAGAAAGTTGCTTTTAATTAGCCTACAAAAATATAAGGGTAAAATTAAAACATTAAGACTGGATGAAATCAACTGCATATTTAGTAATTTGTAGTTTTGCTAACACAGAAATTGAAATCAGTGTTAAAAATTAGGAAATGTCTCCTTTTAGCTAGAAATTTCTAGCCTTCTTTAGCTAGAAAGAGAGGAAGCTAATGACTTAGGTTCGTACACTTTGTCATTGTATTGTGAATTACCTCCCTGACCCCTCTAAGATTATGAGGATTATAGAAGTTTTTTTTTATAAGTTATGGTTTAATTGCCTGTTACTGGATGAAATTACCTGCCATAGTAAAGTTTATGAATTTGAGCCATCTGTGAGAGATTATCCCTTGAGAGGATGAGGATCTGTTTTTATTGTCATTGTTGGCTATACCCATTGGGATTCAGAGATCTGAGTTTCTTTCAAGGTCCTCTGGTTTCCTCTGGTTGGTTATGTCAGAAGTAAATCATAGATAACCTAGATGTCAGTATACATTACAAATAAGCCTTTTTGATAAGATTTAATCTTTTCTTGATTAGAGACCTACTGCATTGGCCAAAATTCTTGGAGTTTACAGAATTGGTTATAAGAACTCTCAGAACAACACCGAGAAAAAGTTAGATCTCCTTGTCATGGAAAATCTTTTCTACGGGAGAAAGATGGCACAGGTAAGGATGTTGGACTATGTGTAGCATTTAGCTACTGGAGACCTCTGAACTCTTGACTATAATGACAGTATATGTTTAATTGTCATTACTAGACCAAATACAACTTTCAACTTGTTGAATGTTAGAGAAGAGAATAGAGAATTATTATTGTGAACTGGTGCTGCCATTTTTTAAAAAATATTTTATTTATTTGAAAAGCATAGTTACAGAGAGAGAGAGGGAGAGACAGAGAAGGGCTCTTCCATCCCCTGATTTACTCCCCAAATGGCTGGGGCTGGGCCTGGGCCAGGCTGAAGCTGGGAACCAGGAGCTTCCTTCAGGTCTCCCAAGGACTTGGGCCATCCTCTGCTGCTTTCCCAGGGCATTAGTAGGGAGGTAGATCAGAAGTGGAGCAGCTGGGACTCAAACCGGTGTCCTTATGGGATGCTGGTGCTGCAGGGTTTGTCTTTATGGTACAGTGCTGGCCTCCGTGCTACCATTTAATATATCCAATATTCTAGAATTACTGGATTGGTAGAATAAATCATCAGATGTACTTGCACCATCTCAGTTTTAAACATGAATTAGCTGCAGAGAAACTAAATACTTCATGAAAATCACTCAGCTATTCCTGGAACTCAAGATGGTAGAACAGTGCTCTTTAACGTGCTGATCATTGAACTTTGCAGTCTGTGACAAGATAAGGAGCATGAGGGCTCTTCCTGCAGGGCCTGCACTGTTGGGATGGTGAGGTGACGGTGTTCTTTGACAGGAAGCACCAGAGACAAGTTTCAGTGAACATGTCTGTTTATTAACAATCAGCCACAAGCTTTTAAAGGGCGGGCAAACAGGGGGGCTAAGGTAGTTCAGGGCAATATTAATTCTATAGAATAAAGCTGATATTGGCACCGCTATGCTTCTCTGATCAGCTTAAAGGTCATGTAGCCTATGTAGCCTCCCAGGTGGTCCTTATGGGTCTGGGCCACACCTAGGAGCTGTTTACCTGATTGACAATTATAAGGCCCTTCAGCAGGAAGTGGTGGGGGGAAATTGCCTGGGGTTTCTGCCACCTGCCAGCAGTCAGGTCATAGGGTCCTTCCCAGGAGGCATGATGTGCCATGCCCTCTTACCCTCCTGCATGGGCTAGGCAGGCAGTCTCCCAGCCAGGCACAGGATCACCTGCAGGAGCTTATGCTAGAAAGTCATTCAGTGCACTGCTTTCATCATTGAGAATTTCTTGCTTTGAGAAAATGTTAGCTGAACCAAAAAGTATGCTTAATGATCAACTTGATGTCATTGTGTGTGCAGCATCATATGTAACATTTGGAGCCAGGAACAGCTGACTGACAGTGATCTATAGAATACATTCCAGGTTCTACTTGTTCTCATAATCAAGTCCCCTGACCTTTGAGTACATTATTTTTCCTACCACACAGATATTCTTAGAATTATGCTTTTGTTTCCACTTTGCCTTGAGTAATTGTAGTTTTTGTATTGAGACTTGAAGTTTCTTAAGACTATTTGTATCTCTTTTTATTTTATTTTTTAATTTGACAGATAAGAGTTATAGACTGTAGAGAGACAGACAGAAAGGTCTTCCATCTGCTGGTTCACCCCCTAAATGGCTGCCATGGCCGGCGCTCCACCGGTCCGAAGCCAGGAGCCAGGTGCTTTTTCCTGGTCTCCCATGTGGGTACAGGGGCCCAAGCACTCAGGCCATCCTCCACTGCCCTCCCGGGCCATAGCAGAGAGCTGGACTGGAAGAGGAGCAGCTGGGACTAGAACCCTGTGCCCATAAGGGATGCCGGTGCCACAGGCGGAGGACTAGCCAAGTGAGCCACGGCGCCGACCCCTGTATCTCTGTTTTTAAAATACTATATGATCCAATGATATTTCCTAGTTACTTGCTAATATGCCTTTAAGTTGATTAAATTAACCTGTATGCTTCTGGAATATATCAGTAATTGAGTCCCTAGCTATTATTTCATGATACAATTATATTTTGCATCTCCTTTTTTTTTTTTTTTTTTTTTTGACAGGCAGAGTGGATAGTGAGAGAGAGAGACAGAGAGAAAGGTCTTCCTTTGCCATTGGTTCACCCTCCAGTGGCCGCCACGGCTGGCGCGCTGCAGCCGGCGCACCGCATTGATCCAAAGGCAGGAGCCAGGTGCTTCTCCTGGTCTCCCATGGGGTGCAGGGCCCAAGCACTTGGGCCATCCTCCACTGCCTTCCCGGGCCACAGCAGAGAGCTGGCCTGGAAGAGGGGCAACTGGGAAAGAATCCGGCGCCCCAACCGGGACTAGAACTTGTGTGCCGGCGCCGCTAGGTGGAGGATTAGCCTATTGAGCCGCGGCGCCGGCGCATCTCTCTTTTTAAAAAAAAAAAAAACAAAAAAACACTGCTATATGATCCAGTGATATATTTTAGAGTTAATTGTTATGATTAAATTGACCAGTGTATTTGAGATGTTTCAGTAATTGAGTATGTAGGCATTAATTTCTTGATGCAATTATATCACCATGCATTTAATGACTTACATTACAAAAATCAGGATTAAATTTTTTTTAAAAAATTATTTAATTGAAAGGCAGAGTTACAGAGAGGCAGAGGCAGAGAGAGAGGTCTTTCATCCGCTAACTAACTCCCCAGATGGCTGCAACGGCCGGAGCTCCCCCGATCCGAAGCCAGGAGCCAGGAGCTTCTTCTGGGTCTCCCATGTGGGGGCAGGGGCCTAAGTCCTTGGGCCATCTTCCACTGCTTTCCCAGGCCGTAGCAGAGACTGGATCAGAAGTGGAGCAGCTGTGAATTGAACCGGCACTCATATGGGATGCCGGCACTGCAGGCGGTAGCTCTACCTGCTATGCCACAGCGCTGGCCCCAGGATTAAATTTTAAGATTAAGATTAGAAGTGTTTGTAACGAATTTTAAGATTAAGATTAGAAATGTTTGTATGGCATAGTGGGTAAAGCTGCTGCCTGCAGTGCCAGCATCCCATATGGACGCCGGTTCTGGTCCTAGCTGCTCCACTTTTGATCCAGCTCTCTGCTATGGCCTGGGAAAGCAGTAGAAGATGGCCCAAGTCCTTGGGCCTCTGCACAGCTTGGGACACCTGAAAGAAGCTCCTGGCTCTGGCTTCAGATCAGCCCAGCTCCTGCTGTTGCGGCCATTTTGGGAGTGAACCAGTGAATGGAAGACCTCTTTCTCTCTCTCTGCCTCTCCTTCTCTCTCTGTGTAACTCTGACTTTCAAGTAAAATAAATAAATCTTAAAAAAAAGAGAAGCGTTTGTAATGGTAGTGACTACAAAAGTCTTTCTGCCTTTTGAATTTAATTATGTTAATTAGCCATTTGTTGCATCTGATACATAAACGACAATTTTCTTTCTGCCAGGTTTTTGATTTGAAGGGTTCACTTAGGAATCGAAATGTGAAAACTGATACTGGGAAAGAGAGTTGTGATGTGGTTTTACTGGATGAAAATCTCTTAAAGATGGTTCGAGACAACCCTCTGTATATTCGTTCACATTCCAAAGCTGTGCTGAGAACCTCAATCCATAGCGACTCCCATTTTCTATCTAGCCACCTCATTATAGATTACTCTTTGCTGGTTGGGCGAGATGATACTACCAATGAACTGGTGGTCGGAATTATAGGTAAGTCATCAAATGTACCCTACTTGTATAGTTCATTACTGGAGCTAGAATAGAACTGTTGAACCTGATGTAGTAAAGCTTATTCAGTAATTTCACAGATTTTGATTTGAAATTTCAAAAATAGTGATTTTTCATTCTTGTCCCTTCTATTCAGTTTCCCCACTCCCATTTTCATTATCTTTACCAAAAATATGTGAATTCAAAAAGTCATTTATGAATTGAGGACCTGTATGGTAATTTGTCAGGGTCAAGTGAACTAAATGGGGAAACCCTTAACACATGTTATTGCCAGCATTCAGTAAAAGTTTAGTGTCATAGATGTAATAGTCATTGTTATTGTTGTTTACTTTATTAATTTAGCTTTACTACTGATTTCACCTCTGAACTTTTCCACCACTAGATTATATTCGAACGTTTACATGGGACAAAAAGCTTGAGATGGTTGTAAAATCAACAGGAATTTTAGGAGGACAAGGTAAGCAGAAATTTCATTTTGTTTATAATTTAAACTTTTCTCATATATTCCATAGTTAAAATTTAAAAATGAATTAAGTGTAGTTATTTATGACTTTATCGTCATTTCCAAAATGACCAAATAATAGGGAAATTGTGTGGATGGAGAAATATTTGGTTTAAATTTCTCAAAAGACAAGAAAAAAAATCCAGAGCTTTTGAATAAGAGGTTGTTTTAATTAATACTTGAAATCATCTCAGTTCTCTATGCACTGTCAACCTCATTTGTGCTTTTAGACATCTCTCATGTCTAGGCAAGAACTACTAGTCTGTTAAAATGGAAACTCCTCTAATCAGAACCTTGACCCACAGCACATGGTACAGAGGTTAACCTGACTTGCTCCCTTAAACTGCTCTGGTGCATGTGTCTTTATGGCAGATCCTTTGAAAAGAAAAGATAGATGCTAAAAAGCCCATGAGAGTTTCTCAGGCATGGAAAGCCAAGACACTGTGACAAAAAAAACCAAAACAAATGACCTAAATGAAAGATCTCTGTGAGATCCCAGTGGAAAGAACAGGCCATCAAAGAAGGAGGTACCTTTCTCTGAAGGGAGGAGAGAACTTCTGCTTTGACTATGGCCTTGTCTAAATAAGATTGGAGTTTGTGAACTCAACAGGCTTCCATAGCCTTGGCAGCTCATGACAAGAGCCTCGGGTGACTACTGACGTCATAAATAAGAGTGTCAATTGTTAAATCAACAACGGGAGTCACTGTGCACTTACTCCTCATGTAGGATCTCTGTCCTTAATGTGTTGTACTTTGTGAATTAACAGCATAACTAGTACTCAAACAGTACTTTATACTTTGTGTATCTGTGTGGGTGCAGTCTGTTGAAATCTTTACTTAGTATATACTAAGTTGATCTTCTGTATATAAGGATAATTGAAAATGAATCGTGATGAAGAATGGGATGGGAGAGGGAGTGGGAGATAGGATGGTTGCAGTTGGGAGGGAGGTTATGGGGGTAAAAATGCTATAATCCAAAAGTTGTACTTTTGAAATTTTTATTTATTAAATAAAAGTTGAAAAAAAAAGAATAGATGAAGGCAGTTGGCTAATCAATTATATAACAAGTACCTTCTCCCTTCTCTTTCATAATCATAGGTAAAATGCCAACTGTGGTGTCTCCAGAGTTGTATAGGACTAGGTTTTGTGAAGCAATGGACAAGTATTTCCTGATGGTTCCAGACCACTGGACAGGCTTGGATCTGAATTGCTGAAATCAAGCACATAGTTTGAAGTAGACTATGAAGGAAGGGGCGAGGATCAAAAATAAGCTACTTTTTGTTTCTTCATCACATTCACCACTGTATGCGAAGTGTTTCAGTTCTGCAGCCCTTTAGTGTGTCCACAATTGTGGCGTAAAAACTCTAGGACCTTGTACTTTTTGATACCTGTGAGTTCACTGTCTGAAGGTTGGGAAGGTGCATGAGCAGTTTCTTAGCTAAGCTGGAATACAGACACATTTGAAGAAAGAGCTAAGGTCAGAGATGAGTGAATATATTGAAACATCAGTTATCATGTTTGCTAATCACTTAATCCTTTTAAGAAGAAATAGCTCAGATTGTGACTTTTTTGACCTCACATGTGACATATTCTTTTCTTAGAAAGCATTTGTAGAGCTGTTGAGTGTGCTTTGTTTCAAATATAATAATAACATTCAGAAGAGAAATCTGATTTATTCCATTAATGGCCAGTAAAGCAAGTTGACACTTACTATTTTATTGAAGAATTAACTTAAAGCAGGAAATCTGACATTTTCTATATCTTCCCAGCTTGCTTTGCTTTTGAGTGTTTGTTTTTAAAATTCTGCCTTCTCTGTGAGTGACAGGAGGCTACACACATTAACTTTAAGCCCTTTTTGGAGCTATTTTTACAGCTTGTTGAAAACTTTTGTATAATTAATATGTTAAACTGTACATATTTGCATACACTCACATTCTGTTTTTTTCCTCCCTGTGTTAAGGGAAACATAATAATCATTAGTAAATGAACCTGCAGTCACCAGCTACCTAATGGAAGAATTATTAATGAAGGATTTTCTTAGATGTAAAAAATAAATTAGATCTAATCTAAGAAATTGAACAGGAAGGAAACAGTTGATTATTTTTTATAGAAGGTAAAGTGTCTCTCTCAATATAACCAGTCATTTGAGTAGCATTTATAATATTGAAAAGTTTCCAGTGTAGACATTTTTGTTTTCTGACTTTCTATACACTGGCCAATTCTGCTGCTATTGAGACATATTAAGAGATAAAGTCCTTCTTAGTAAAGAACTTTTTGTCAGCATTTGTGTGAACAGTTGTCAGAAGTACTAAACGTTAATGAAATGATGTAAGCAGCCTCACTGTACTTCTTCCTGATTCCTTTGTGTAACAAGGATAGTTTAGGAATTTTTTAAAGGTGTAAGGATTCCACTCTTCAGACTTTGTGTAATGAATGTACTGTTGCACATTTATTTTCACATAATATGAAAAAAATCTGGCTGTATTAAGTTATACAAAGTCTAATAATAAGTACATGAAATAGGAACATTTGGGAAGGTTTGCTTTAGATAATGAAAGCAGTGGTGTGGTATTTGGTGCTGATTAAAAACATGGTTTGTTTTGAACTGGAAGCAAGTTGACCAAGAACTTATAACTGATCTCATGAGAAGCTCCCTTCCCACTACTGTTTTAAACATATGTATGTGCCTTTTGATGATACACAAAACACTGATCATTTTAGTTAGGTGAGAGATATGTGGGCTGTTATTAACGTCTTATGTGTCCTGGAACAATGGAGTTTGTGTCTGATTTAAAATGCCAGCACTGTTTTATCTCTGTTCATTTTCTTTGCAGATACTTAGGGTTATTTATCATGTCCATTTCCTGTACCTCTTGTTCATTAATACTTCTTTAAAGTAGAAGTAGAAGATGTCTTCCACCTACCTATAATCAGATTTCAATAGCATGTATATAGTTGAAATACTCCATGGAAATAGCTCCCAACAATAATATGGCATGTTAATTTTGTTTTCTTTGCCCATGACTTGAAAAGCTATTTTTTTAAAGTACTGCTGCCTCTTAGGTAATTTGGGAGTTAAAAAATATTCCAATATAATACATTCTGAGCAGGAGTTGCTATTTTACAAGGGTGATTTGTCCTTTTAAAGTAATTTTTGGCTGTGTTAGTGAAGGGGAAGGTAAAATTTAATGATTTGGTTTGGGTGGTAGAACTGTATGCTTGGTACCTTGCTGCTCTTATTTAGGCCACTACCATGTATATATGGCGTTTCAAATATTGTGCTAGTCAGTGTTAAGCATTGGATAATTATTTTCTCTCTTGATTTCCCTTTCAAGGCCTAGTGAACATTAATGCTGAAAAGTTAAGAATGAGGAAGAAATCTTAATCCTTCCTTCCTTAGAATGTAATATAAATCCTGATAGCACGAAAAAACTGTCAACATGTTGTTTCATTTAAAAATCTTATAGATAATTGAAGTTTTTTGATGCCATTGAAACTAAAAGAAAGAATTTACTTTTTTCTTACCCTAATCTAAGACAAATAAGGGGAAAACTGTTGCAAGCCCTTTTATAGCTTATTGGATACTTTAAATTTATAACTATTCAAAATTTCTTATCAAATATCTTACTTTATAATTTTTTCCTTGATTCAGCAGTGAATGATTTTCTAGCTTTGGGTTTTATTGGGTTTTGTAAATAGTAGGGTCATATTGGCATCAGCTTTTATGATGGCTTTGTGGCCATCAGCTTTTTGGCAGTTTACTCATAAGCTGTGGGCTTGTATAAAACTGCCAAATAAAGTAATCTACCTGTAAGAAAATTTGCTTAACTTGAAGAGTCAGAATTATTGTGAATGAGCCTGATGGTCAAACAATCAGCCCATTCATTTTTCCTCAAGTGTTAACATACTGATTACACAGTATTCAAACCACTTAGTGCAATGCCTTTTGTTTTTGTCACACAGGTGCAGTGTATTATAGGAACAATTAAAATTACAATCATGAGCAGTTTTATTAATACTGCTCTGTCAGTTTTGTAAATAAAAATGTACATTATTTCTTTCAGTGGGTTGAATTTTAAGCCAGAGAAATGACATTGTAAATCATAGTTGCCTCTTTTAATTTAATATGAAAAACTCAACTAACAATATTGAAAGTACTTAATGTATTATATTGTATATATTTCTCTACTTTAGTTTCAGCTGTTTTATATGACTGACATGTTATTTAAGAGATAACTGCCTTGATCTTTTAGAGACTTGTATTGTAAATAAAGATGACTTAAACTAAGAATCTGTTTACTCCACTTGAAATGAGCAGTAGGAGATGGACTTCAGTGCAAGTCTGGTCCCTTGTCTACAGATGTTGCTTTTGTTCATTCTCTTCCTCTTTGTTTTCTGATTGGAGAACTCAAGTGTTTGATTTAAGTCCCTGGTACATATTGGTCAGTAACATGCATGTCTGTATTGGCCTTCCCATTCTTCCTATGCTCAGTGAAGTTCATCCTTCATGAACTTCTACATAGGAATGGATGAATTAGCAGGTCGGGAGGGCAGTCTCAACTGTAACTTCCTCCTGTGGCTCAGAAGCAGTTCTCCATGTGTACCTGAAGTGAGTTCCGGCTCATTGTAACTCAGAGCTGTGAATGTGAAGCCATGAGGTCCAACTTCTACCTGGATGCATCTGGGCAAAGATGAGAATGCCTGGGTAGAGGAGGCAGCTCTGGGTGGACCCTGAAGTGTTGGGGCTGGAGTGTATAAGAGAAGGTGGAGGTCACAGACTGACAAGAGAATGATGGGCACCCCTGGCTTACCGCCTCTTGCTTTTCTCTTGCAGAATGGAAGAAATGGATGTTAGGAAGGAGGCACAGTGTGTTCCCCAGTCCCCGCTTACCCATAAGTCTCTTGTGCTCAAACATTAATTATCTCAAAAAAATTTTGAGTTATGCCTAAGGAAACTAAGATTTAAAAAAATGATTTACTTTGGCAAAAAATTACACTAAATTTGCTATCTTAATTATTTTAATTTTTTATCTTAAATTTGTACTTATTTGAGAAACAGAGAAAGAAATTTCCCATCATCTGGATCATTCCCCACATGCCCATGATGGCCAGGGCTGAGCCAGCTCAAAGTTGGACGTCAGGAACTCAAACCAGTTCTCCCACCTTGGTGGCAGGTACTCAGACCTATCACCTGCTGTCTCCCTAGGGTGCACATGAGCATGATGGAATCCAGAAGAGCGCCTGAACATGAACCTAGGCACTCTGGAAGGGAATATGGGTATCCCAAGCAGCAACCTAACAGCTATGCCAAATACTTGCCCCAGTCATAATCATTTTAATTTTTATTTATTTATTTTTTAAAGATTTATTTATTTATTTGAAAGTCAGAGTTACACAGAGAGGAGAGGCAGAGAGAGAGAGAGAGAGAGAGAAAATCTTCCATCTGCTGATTGACTCCCTAATTGGCTGCAACGACTAGAGCTGCGCTGATCCGAAGCCAGGAGTCAGGAGCTTCTTCCAGGTCTCCCACGTGGGTGCAGGGGCCCAAGGACTTGGGCCATCTTCTACTGCTTTCCTAGGCCATAGCAGAGAGCTGGATCAGAAGTGAACTGGCGCCCATATGGGATACCGTTGCTTCAGATCAGGGCATTAATCTGCTGTGCCACAGCACCGGCCCCTGTAATCATTTTTAAATGTGCTAATGAGTAGGGTTAAATACAAGGGGCCTTAATAAAGTTCATGCAAAATATATGTCATAAAAATGCATATGCATAGATTTCAAAATTTTTATACCAATGTAAACTGAGCATTTAATTGCATTTTTCCACAAACATGAAGTACCCTTAGATATTCATATTGTCGTGTGCTGTATCAATTTGCAGAACAAAACAGCTTCTCCCTTCCCCTACTCCTAAGACCCAGGTAAGTGCCATTTTATTTCTGTGTCTTGGACTTCTGTGAATTGGACTACTTAAGATACCTTATGTAAATAGAATCATGTGGCATTTGTCTTTTTTTGAGTGGATTATTTCAATTAGCATAATTCCTCAAAGTTTATCAGTGTTGTGGTATATGATAGGATTTTCTTTTAAATGGCTGAATAATACTCCATTTATGTATCTACCACATTTTGTTTATTGATTCATCCTCCCACAGACATTTAGGTTGAGTGATATTAATTTCATTTATCAACTTGACTGGGATAATGGTTGCCCAGATGACTGATCAAAGAAAATGTGGGGCCAGCGCTATGGCGCAGCAGGTTAAAACCCTGGCCGGAGGCGCTGGCATCCCATATGGGTGCCGGTTCTAGTCCCAGCTGCTCCTCTTTGGATCCAGTTCTCTGCTATGGCCTGGGATAGCAGTAGAAGATGGCCCAAGTCCTTGGGCCCCTGCACCCACGTGGGAGACCTGGAGGAAGCTCCTGGCTCCTGGCCTCGATGCGGCTCCGGCTTTTGTGGCCATCTGGGGAAGGGAGTGAACCAGAGGATGGAAAATCTCTCTGTCTCTCTCTGTAACTCTGTCTTTCAAATAAATAAAATAAATCTTTAAAAAAATTTTTTTAATACATCAATGAGTGTTTCCAGAAGAGAGAAACATTTCAATCTATAGACTGACTAAAGAAGATCTAGCTTCACCATCCTGGATGGAAAAAAAAAACGAAGAAAGTTTGCATTCTCTTTCTCTCCTCTTGAGTGACACATGTGAGGTAATAGGTCACTGTGGTTTGGATTTTTGTGTCTTTGATGATGTTGAGCATGTGCTATGTTGTTTCATGTGCTGGATGATCATTTGTGTATCATGCTCTTCTGGATTCCTGTTGCCTTCCTGATGGCACTAGTTAATGAGTTTATAAAGCTTTTAGTTCTAACTCCAATGGATACAAACAATTGTTACCTACTTAGCCCATAAAATACCTCAGGACACAAAACAAAACACTCTTATCCTAAACCATTTTCAATCAGTGCTGTCCATCTTTGCTCCAAAGACAAAAAAACAATTTTGTGACATTACAGGGGCAGTTGACTATTGCCACCCAATTTTCCTTTTTCTTAACTGTTGTGTGCCCTCCTCTCAGATATAACTGTAGACCACTTTACGTAGCTTTCTGAGACAGTGGCTTCCTTGGAAACATTGGAGTTAACATTGTCCATATCTCTAGCTCTTGCACTATTCAATTTCAGTAACCCTTTAACTCTAATTGCTATGAAAACAATGGGATATCCATGGGTATTCTAGGATAACCTTTCTGTCCATAGTGTAATTCTCACTTTATTTGGACTGGGTGACTTCAGGCATGGCTCCATCTCTCTGTGCAGTAGCCTCAGCGGCCATCCTAATTGACAAAGGCAATATCCTTAAACTGTTCCCTCCGCTCATCTCCGTTTCCTTTGCTGTCAGCTCTCTTAGAAGTCCTCACATCTCTACTAAATGACAGGCTATCTATGATAGGCTTTAGTAACCAACCGTTCCATTGTCTTATACTGCTGTAATACTCTTAAACCCAGCTACTCTGTTGCCCCTCCCTGACAATGGAGATTTCCACTCTCTTCATATGATTGTCTTAGGAATATAGCAATGAGTTCTCAATCATGTGAGGATGTTATATAATCCCTTAAGCAATCCAGACTTCTTTTTTTATTTTAAATATATAATTATTTATTTAAAAGGCAGAGTTACAGAGAGAGAGAGACAGAGAGGGATCTTCCATTCACTGGTTCACTTCCTAAAAGGCCACAATATCTGGAGCTGGGCTGATCCAAAGCCAGAGCCAGAAGCTTCTTCCAGGTCTCCCACGTGGTTGCAGGAGCCCAAGTAGTTGGGCCATCCTCCGCTGTTTTCCCAGGCTATTAACAGGGAGTTCATAGGAAGTGGAGCAGCCGGGATTGGTACTGGTGCCCACATGAAATGCTGGCATTGTAGGCAGTGGCTGAACCCGCTACACCACAGCACCAGCCCTCGGATTTCTTACTCTGTAATAGCTTTTGTTGGTGAAACTTCCAGGGAAAGATAATAACTGGCTATGCCATCGTTTCTTCACATGAAATACTCAAAAAATGTACTTTTGCACACATACACACACACACACACACACCCCATGCATGCACAGAAAAAGAACCCAGGCCACCAAACTCATAAGTCTGTCTAAAAAGTTTATATATTGACTAAAAGGAAATCTATTTTGACTTCAGAGTCTCCCGTTAGTGCAATTTGGAAGACCCATGGGTTCTTGAGCTCTGCCAGTATTCCAATCTCCTGTGGGTATACGATTGCTACCCTATTGCAGGTTGTTCATGTTTCTGTTGAAATTACCATTGTTTACTGCCTGGCATATTCAGTCCCTGCAAATGAGAGGTCTTCAGCAAGTTCAATTGTGCTATTTATAATTCTCACCAAATTCATGATGGTAACTAGCATATTCCAGAGAATCCTCCAAGACCATACTGCCCTTTGAGGCACTTCAAGTGGACTTTATAAAATATTTACTTCCATCCTTAGGGTATTATTCTCACCATTTAGTTATTGCTTGCATAGTTTGTACATAAACTTCTGTCTAACTAGATATACTAATGTGGCAACAGTGGTGAACAAACTGATAGCTAGCCTTTTCCCTCATTTTGGTCTTCCTTTTTGGATTGACTTGGATAGAGGAATTCACTTTATAGCAGAATTAAATCAGTTGCCTGCAAAGAGTTGGTACTCATTAAAATTTCATGCACATTATCATCCCCAAACCTGAGGGCCAGTGACAAGTAAACTAGGAAAAATCTGTCAGACACCTGGACTCAAATTGCCAGAAGCATTATGTGGATTGACCTTTTCTGAAATAGTTTTTGGCTTCCTTATACCTATTGGCATCTCTAAACCTTTTATTCCTGGGTTGAGCAAGCATTGTAATGACTTGAGTGAGCAAAATCATGACTAGGTGTATTCAAGAAGTAGCATACTTGGAATATAAATGTAAAGGTGAAAAAGGCATGCTTTTTTGACCAGCAGACTGAGTGTACATCAACATTTTTGGAGGAAAACATGTACAGTCACCTTGTTGGGAGGGACCTTCTGGAGTATTACCAACCACCTATACCGTCATCCAAATGAAAGACCTCCTGGATTCACAAAAACCATGCCACTCTAGAGCACAGATCATTGCTACCATGACAATTACCCTCAAATTGAGAGGTTTCCAGTACCAACTCACAGGCTACAGAAGCCGAAAACACCATGAAGCAGACTGCTTTTCCCAAGATCTCAGATTGAGAGCTGTATCTCCATGTATCTGTCCTCAAAACT